CAGTTTGGCGCCATTCACTATCTAGTTTTGCCCTCACAAGTAATGACACCTGGCACCAAATGGGTGCCATTTAATGGCGACAGAAAATGAGACAAAAGATTTTTGGTTGGCTGGGTATATGTATGTGAGTGAGTCTGTTTGTGTAAAGTGGGGTGGGGGAGAGAATAAGTGGTAATGTTGACAAAAAATAAATATATGGAACAGCAACAAAATACTTAAAAATCCACATTAATATTAGCACAATAAATTTTACATTATATATATACATATATATGATAGTTTCAAAAAAGCAGTGAGAAAATTTCTGTTATATTATAAACAACACATAATTTGACATTGAAATTTATGTAACATACTTAATACGATATATGCCTGTCCGCATGTGCAATTATATATGTATGTATACATATATGTCACAAAAATTTTGACATTATTTCAAGTCAATTTTTAAATAGTTATAATACAGTACACACATGAATTCGAGTGTTTACTGTATATTTAAAGTAATTTTAAATATCCCACATTATTGCTCTATATATACACACAGGTAAAAACAAACATATAAAGTATTAAACGATATGTTGGGCTCTTGGTTTGAATACTGTGAGAAATTCAAACAGTAAACTTCATATGTTCGGTTCATACTTGAATATGAATTATTTTTCTATTTAAAAGAAGCAACTTTTTGCAAAATTTGTATTTGCAGAGAATTGTCTCATGTGTGTGTTTGTGTACTTATTTATCCAACTACTTATCCAAATAACTTATTCCCACCTTGTATATATATATATATATATATATATATATATATATATATATATATATATATAGAGAGAGAGAGAGAGAGAGAGAGAGGGAGAGAGTAATTACGAGACAAGCAATCCTTCACAGACCTTAAAAATGCAAACTTAATGACAGGCACTAAACAAACACAACTAATTTACTTGTTACTAGTACTACCACTGCTACTACTAGAGTAATTATAAATATTATAACGAAATTCAGTTGTGTATAAACAATGAAAAAGACAGCAAAGGATAATCTCAACAGTGTAAGTAGTAAAATCTGAAACACCAGCAAATTAAAATGATGAGCGACAATCACGAGCCAATCGGATTGGAATATTATGATTTCAAAAGAATAGGAATTCTTCTCAGAGATCAAATACTATGGGTTTAAATCTGAGAAAAACTACAGATGAGTAGAAAGAAAAGAAAAAGACACTAAAACATTTGGCCAGTATTAGTTAGTTTTTAATAGTAATCTAATTAATATGAAGCACCAACGAAAATCACTCGCTTGTGACACAAAGGTGGCTTAACTAGTCAAAAGTGAAACAGTCAGTCAGTCAATAACAACGTAGAACTTCGTACGTACGTACATCAGTTCGAGTTGCCACAACACATTAGCACAGAGATGCAGTTGTTGATTCAAATCCCGTAGTGGTAGAGCTAGTCAAAATATAAGCAGTAATCGGGAAGATTAGGGTTTGGAGATGTTATTTAAAGAGTGTAATACAGTGAAATAAAGTTGGGAAGAGAAAAAAGAGACAAGGAGGAATCAGGAGATTAAAATTTGGGAGAACACAAAGAGTGGATGCACCTGCGCCATTGCAAACGATTTTGAGCCATGTCATTCAGGGTTTCTAACCATCGGTTGCTATCACTTCGCGGTCCACATCCAGGTAGTCTACACCTACCAACATGGCTCAGTTTACTTGTCAGTGACTTCATGGACTTGTGCCATGTTTTGGTCTGGCCGCCCCTAGCTTTCTTTCAACCTACTCCTATACCACTGAACATCGCAAGTCGAGGCAGTCGGTCGTTGGGCATACGTAACACGTGTCCCAGCCATCTCAACTGATGAAGTTTCACTACTTCATCAGTTGAGATGGCTAGGACAGGTTTTGATGTTTTAAGATCCTAAAAGTTAACAACTAGCTGGGAATAAAAAAACTTTAAATATACGTGGTCAACAAGTTCATCAACATTGCTATCTATCGTATAATTTAGAAATGACCTAAACCAATTCCAGTCAGTTAGTCGGGTACAACGTAGGACCAGGCATACATAAGCATTGGTTCAAGTTGCCACACCTCATTAGCACAGCAAGATGAACACCGGATTCATAGAAGTAGTTAAGTCAATGGTGGTAATATATATAAAAAAGATTGTGTATAAGGATATAATACAAGAAGAAAGAATTAGAAATAAAGGTATAAATTAATTTTAATCTCACTGTTTAATCGAAGACAAACAGTGTATACACCTAAACCATTGTGATAGATTCTGAGCCATATCACCAAGAGTCTCCAAGCTTTGGCTACGTTAGCCGCGTGGGCCCCAACCACGTAGTCTGCATCTACCGACATGGCTCAGACTAGAAGTTAATGACTTTATGAACTGATCCCACGTTTTTGTTTGTTCGCCCCTAACTTTCTTCCAACCATCCCCCACACCGGTTAGCATTGTGCGTCGTGGTAATCAATGTTCAAGCATACGCAACACGTGGCTCAACCATCTCAGTCAGTGAAGATTCACAACCTTACCAACTGATTTACCATCATTCCCTAATACTCTGTGTATAACCTCATTACCACTTACCCAGTGATCCCAGAAGGCGCGACCAATATTTCTACGACATCTGTAATCAAATACTAGTAACTTACGAGTATTCTCTACCCTTAATGGCCATGTTTTGCAGCTGTAAAGTAGAACAGGACGAACTGTCTCACAGTATACCCATCCTTTAACTGACAGGATATCTCGCCTTCGCCATAGGTGATGTAAGTTGGAAAAAGCCAAACGAGCCTTCTGAATCCGTGCTGAGATTTCGTCAGACACCAACCCAGTAGTGCTGAACAGACTTCCAGGATAAGTGAAATTGTCGACGCGTTCGACTACTTCACTCTCTAGTTCAGATGTTGAGGTTGTCCAGTCCCGAAGCAAACATTTGCGTTTAAAGGGGTAGAAACGCATCCTAATTATCCTGGCATTGTTGCTTAGTGATAACAAAAGACTCTGCATTTTATCAGTGTCTTCACCAAACAGGACTACGCCATCTGCGTATTCTATTAACAATCAACAACTTACATTTTGAAAAAGAGGAATGCAAGCATAATATGTTGGCATTGCTAACTGAAGTATTCACAAGACTGTGTTTTGCCATTGCATATAATCAGATTTCCCGCATACTTCAACTCGACAAAGGAAATCTTTAAATAACAAATCATTCAGTCGTTGAAAATCCGAACGAACAAAATCATGAACAAACACTAATGCTTGTAGGAAAATCTAATGAACATATAGATTCAAGGTTATTCCTACTTTATGTTGTTTACTTTTTAAAACCTAAAATTTATATAATACACTGAGATAATTGTAAACACAAATTAGTACGACAATTGATTAGTTAAGCTACTAGGTGTTTATGTTCATTATTCGAACAAAATATTTACATTTACGCATTTGTTTTGTTCTGTCTACGATTAAATTTTGAAACAAGTGTCAAAATGAAGACAATAAGACGTTAAACTTTCAACACAAAAGATTTATTATGAATAATTTGTCAAAAGTGAGCAATCATAGAAAAAGGGACTGTGAAATGGAATGGCTAACATTTGCGTAACAGTCAGATGTTTAGGATTTCATAGTACGAATAAAATTGAGAGAAATAAAATCAACAAAACAGTTAGATAATAATAATGATAATAATAACAATTTAACACTGATGAGTTCACATGAAACAGGACACAAAATAAATAAACAAGGAGATTAAAAAATATTAATAAACCAAGGTATCTAAGAGAAAGACAACAAACAGATGCACCTTTATTGCTTTGATTAACATTGAATCATGAACCGAAATTCGGAAGATTTAGTCATTGGTACCCGCTGGCTAAATCAGTCTATGAACTCAACTTTTACCCATTAAACCACTGATGAACTAAACCCCACTTCACTTATTTCAGTTGAGTGATTGAATAGTGGTAAAGTTAGTTTTTAAACACTAAGAGTATAGATCAAAACTGAGTATATCAATCTATAATTGAATGGTAAAAGTTAATAAAAGATCCTAATGATGAAATAAAATAAAGTACAATGGTGAAATTCATTTAGATTGTATTAACTGTAAGGCATTTCCTGATACACAGTCAGTAGTTATTTTACGTTAAAGCTAATAATAAGAGCAAAACAAAAAATATATATTTGAGGCTGAAATATTTTAGTGAATGTTTATTTTGAAAATAGAGTAGCGTTTGAAACTTTCTGTTAACAAAATCATTTTTATCGGCCTTAAAGTCAGCATACAGTTGCATATGCATCAATATTTTCTTCCGAAATAAGTATAATAATACAAATTATCAACATTCATGTGTACAGACGATTCATGATCATTTTATTTGTATAGAAAAGTTTCAAGATATCATCCACTGCTGTTAAATATCTCTATTTATACCATGAACTCAAGGTTATTCATAGATCTCTAGCAAAGTATGGATGGACTAGTTGAATTTGATCTTCTTCCAAGAAATGTAACCAATTAATAAAATATATGTGAAAATTATATATAAATTAATCTCAGCGATTGAGATAATTGAATAATTCTAACGTTTCGTCCAGCAAACTTGTTTGGACTTCTTCAGGGTAATCTTAATCGCTGAGATTATTTCAAATATAATTTTCACATATAATGTTTTCTCTATACTTAGCGCCCAATTTTTGTCAAACTATTCGTTCTAATATTGACGAATATTCGTATAAATTAATAAAATATACTGGTACTTTTTAAAAATTTATGATCTAAATCCTGAGCTTGTGAAATATGCATTTGTTTCGGATGTGCCTTTAGTGCTGGCAAACTTCAGTGGCTGTTAGATGAAGTAACATATTCAACGTGGTGCTCATATATATATATATATATATATATATATATATATATATATATATATATATATATATATATATAGCTTTATACAACACAAAACAAAGACTAATTACCTGGATCTGAAGAATATCTTGAGCAACTATTTTCCTCATTAATTTTATCTTGAATAAGTACTCGACTCCAGTGATAGGGGTTTAAACAAATTTGTGAGTTTGTATGCTTTTCTGAAAACTGACAAGGTCCAATCCGTCTGTATGGGATGAAAAAATGAAGTTGAAATTGACTTTCGACGAAATAATTTCGTGTATTATTATGAGACTAAAAGGATAGCAACTTCTACATTACTCAATCGATATACTGAGTCATGGACAACTCGAAATGTATGTTTTTGAATTAAAATATTTTTACAATCGTTGGGAAGCAACAAGTGAAATTTTACTAGACAGCAAATTGTAAGATTTAAATGAAACAACATATTGATAGCAACGAATTAAATATAATGCTAACTAAAAAATGGTCAGGTGGCATGGTAGGTTGAATGACAGGATTCAAACATACTCGTAGTTTACATAACGAATTGTCCTGTATAATAACTATGAAAACCTGTTTGCGAAGTTACTGAGTCACCTAAGTTTCTTGATTTTTTCAAATGAAGTAAATTGTCGTTACAGTGCTTTTGTTTTAATAATGTTTGGAAAACAAAAAAGCAGTACGTTCATAATGATGTACTTGAGTTGGAAATTGATATATAAACACGGCGAGATAATGCACTGGTCGCAAACAACATACACAAATGTATTAAAACTGGTAAACCTGGTCGTGGAAATTTATGGTTCATGTATAGCCCATTAAAAACCAATGATATTATACTCAACAAATACCTAGTGATAAAACAATACATTTATTTCATGAATATAACTGTGAAGAAAAAAATTGGATGAGAAACAGAACCTGGTATATTATTTAATCGGAACGATGTACAAAAATCTAAACACCACAATAAGAGAAATCTTAAAATAAGAGTAAGTCATAAAATGAGATTAAGCAACGAGAAGTAGGTACAAGACACTAACAAGTTGAACATTGAGAGTAAAATAAAAGATATGTCACTGGCACTTGTTTTCAACTGCAATAATTTGGTTCATTAGACCTAGGTCTCCACTAACTCAAAGATGCTATACGAATGGTTCGGGCTCGTATAAAACATTCACATTTATGGTCATGGACTCTAAGCATAAACAAAGAAATTGATTTAGACGATATTAGCGAGTTGATGACAAATACATGCTTTGTTGCATGTTACAGTAGATCGTGACAAATTTATGTGTAGTTTTTGCTTGAACCAGAACATACACTCATATCAAAGCAAAGCTGCAGCTTGGGGGTTTCAAAATTTATCTTTGTTTTAGCTTCAAACGCCTCTTCAAATCCTTGTGTACCTAACCCTTAGAAAACAGGTTTGCTCCACCCTACAGAGTGATCCCGTAACAACGGAACGATGATATTGCCATAGTACTTATTCCTAAAAAATCAAATCATAAGCGTACAGCTGGACAGATTACAGTGTTGATAAGCTAGAGAATATTTCCCTGGTATGGAAAACAGTAGTTTTCCGATCAAACGATATCAGAGAAACACTAATAAATCTTTTATGCATTAGTATAATTACGCTAGAGAAATCATAAAGCGTTTGGTTTTGTACATCAAAACTTAATTTATTCGCACTCAACTAAAATCATTCACATCAAGATCATTAATAACATAGCTAAATTAAACGAGTTGAATATATACGTCTTTAGAATTATGGCAACATAATGAAACATAGTGTATAAATTAAATGATAAAAAACTGCATTAGACGCCATCACAGATAGAGAGTTTGGTACTAGTTGTACTAAACATTAATTAAAATTGGTTATGATGTAAACTACTATGGTTTCATTTATTATGCGCTTTTCCAACTTGTTCTTTTAGTGAACAAACTACAACTTATTCAATAATAAAAGATGTGATTTGATTCACACACACAAGAAGCATACGTGCACATACATGTACACCCCCGAAGCAAACACAATCCTATAATGGAAAGAAATTCAGTTAGTTTTCGGATTAGAATGCATTAAGGTCTTTTACAGGCGCCAGCGCTGATATATATATATATATATATATATATATATATATACGCATATATAATCCACATGGAATCATTCAAATAACAAAATGCAAAAACAGAAGTTCGATTTTAATCTAAAACAGCACACAGAAAATTTCGTTTTATTGCACTACGTCCGAAATAATTACCTGTCTAAGAGGAATATGTTCTTCTTCTACCTTTATTCGATATCAAGCAAATTGTAAATGGTGATAAATGATTTGTTTGCGTCGATATTTATAAATATAATCCCATAAGTAGATACTAGGTGGGCGACACAATAAATGGTCAGTCTAGAATGGCGGCAAACGGATTTGCAAACGCCGCCAGCAAGCGGGAGCCAAACCACAGCGACCTGAGTCGTCATCCATCCTAGTTTTCCCGACGATTTTTGAGCACATTTCTGCACTGTATATACACTAAGCAGCTGTTGAAACAATAATTAGTTTAATATTTAAGCGAAGTAGCTTTCAAGAATTTTTCTATGATCAGTCAATATTTGCTCTGATAAATTAATAACCATTTCATATATTCTGGTAATTTTTTCAACAACGAAAAACTAAATAAAGCTAGGAAATATATATATGTATATGTATAAACATCTCTGAAGATATAAAAGTATGTGAATCAGAAATAATCAAAAGGTGGATTAGTCCAAATATTTACTCGTAGTGATAATAAGACTGAACACGGTGGAATTAGAATAGTAAATTTAACTAATGTAGTAACTGGTTTGTTAAAATACTGGTTCACCTAATTGGATACAAGCAACTAATTTGAATCTGTAAACAAGGTTTGTCCACTCGCTTTAGCAATATGTGCCATTGTATAAGGACCACCAAAAGTAGCCGGTTGCCCGAAATGAAGGTAAGAAATTTCAATTCTACAACCAGGCTGCCGAAATGTAATAACTAATCGAGGAAACCATACATGTGGTAAACGAGAACTCAGATGGAGTTAACCGATTTATTGTGTAATAAAAAAATTAGTGCTTTCGTAAAACATAAAAGTCATGCCTTGAATACATTATTTTCAGATCTACCTTCAATTGTTCTTTACATGCCTCATGATTTTTCCAATTCTGTAGTTATTGTTATTGATCTCTTTCCCTCCCTGATCTCTTTAATTCAATCTTCCCAATCTTCTGATGGAAGGCATTCCACATCCGATTGCTGCTACATACTATTTATATCTGTCAGTTTAAGTAGTATGCACCACAAACACATTAAGTGAGGCTTAAAGTCTAATCTGAAAATCAGTATACGAAGACTAAATTATAAATGTTACATTTGTTTTTTTTCAAGCTACAAAGGAAAATATCAAGCTAATCAGACTTATTATCTAGTAAACAGAAACACTAAATTTAACAAAATTAATCGAGAAATTACTTTTCTTATATGTGGCTTTAACACGCACGGATAAAATTATTAAATAAATGTTCCGCCGTCAAAATACAACTATGCAAACTATCTTCATATAGTGAAAAACATTAAGTCCATGAATAACAATTTTTCATTCTACACAAAATAGAGATAATTTATTTTTAAGTATTTTGTCTGGAAGAATATTAACGCTTGTAAGTGCGCCTGCGTACATTACCGGAAACTCAAGAAAGTGAATATTTTGAACACTATATACTAGAATTTTATGTATGAGTGTACAAAGCCATATGATTAGAACGTCTTGTGAAATATAATACGTATCACTCCAATGATGAAATAATTGTCATAACGACTTTATTCTGTTGAAGCAAGCTAGGAAATGAGATTAACGTGATTTATATACGATCAGTTGCCCTGTTTTAAATTAGGCTTATAAATCGGAACCATGAACCGAACAATGTTAGACCACTATAGAAAACCTGGAGTGACTGGATGGTCGCTTCATTCTAAGGTGAGGATCTTCAGCTATGCGCATCCACGATCTCGCACGCGGGACTCCAATCTAGGTTCTTCGACTTAACGCGCGAGCGCTTAACCCCTAGATCATTGAGCTGGCATTCAACGGTGTTACTGTCTAACTTCAACTAATCCACAATACTGCACAGCCATCTTCCATCGTCTTCGGTGGGTTACTGCTTCACATCTAACACAGATTAGCTCGACTGGTTATGGCTTCTCACTAGAACTCTGAGAATTACCTCTTGAAGCTAATCACTGATGAGCACATAATAATTTTCAGTGTTTAGTTGAGGAGATTCTTGAATTTCATTGTGCCCACTAATTAATAGGTTTGACAACTGATTCTCGGAGTTCTAGTGAGATGACATGACTGGTGGGGCTTAACTATGTCAGTTGTGAGGCTGCTAACCACCGAAGACGATGGAGGATGGTCACACAAAGTGTTAAGAAACCGCTATAAGAACCAGATATACTAGTGGTTTACGTCAATTAACGAAATGGAAATTAAATCAAAACATTAAGTCGAATGAACAAAAGTAGGGAGTTTAGACTATTAAGCTCCATCTCCATAGAAAGCTATCTAAGTAACCTCTTTAATTATGCCAATGAGAGGTCACTATTAGTAAGCAATGTGTAAAAGTCATGCAGGATTATTCTACTATGCTAAAAGCATTCAACGAAAAAAGTCCAATTAAGATTGTATCTTGAAATAATAAGAATCTAAAATATATGTTTTTTACCTGACTTTATTTACTCTAGAAGAAAACAAACCAGCTTTCAGCCGAGAAAACACTAAAAAAGCGCTGGAGATGGATAGGATACTCATTACGAAAACCATCAATCTGCAATATATAGCAAATTGGAATCCTCAAGGCAAAAGAAAAACAGACAGACTAAAGAACAAGTTGCGTTGGAAATCGGAAGCAAACATTAAGAAAATAAATGGCACTTGAGAAATACCAGAAAGGAGAGACCAATGAAGAGTAAGTTTTGAGATTACTGGTTGACAGCCTATACTCCATGAGGGGTTACATTCGTAATTGAGTAAGCTATTTATTCATGTCCTTTTTTATTTTGATCCCAAATACTGATTTTAACAAGACAAAACGCACTTCTAACAGTATTAAGTTACTAAATCGTTTAAGGTAATCATTCAATATAATCAGTGTTATGAAAGATAGTCTTTGTGGAAGGTGGGGTAGTGGCTTACTGGTTATAATACATAACAACTTCTAGGTTACAACTTGAAACCCTAACGTGCATACATTAGTTTGGACAGTGAGATGGTGTCAACAGCTTCTACACAAAAACTAACCAAAAGCTAGTAAATGAACTTATACTTGGCTACTGAGATCGATTAAATTCATCGAGGTGAGTGTTTTCTAACTAATCTCCAAATACCACTATTAATCGACTGCGAAGAAAGATTAATTGCCAGACAAATATTACTTAAATATTTCCAAATTTATGTAGTACACTATACCGTTGACAACCACTAAGTTAGTTAAAAAGAGTTGACCAACATAAATTCTTAAGGTCAGTGAAACTAGTTGACAAAACACTACCAGGCGCAGCAAATTGAAACATAACATGAAGTACATGTGTTTTGAATCGCTCTAAATGTCTCAAAGCTACTATTTCTATTACTAGTTGAGTGTCAAAAGTTTAGTACTTGTAGGAAGTTTTCGATATGCAGCTTACTTAGAGACAGTCAAGTGATTCAGCTACCGAAATATGACTCTAATGTTGGTAGTTTGATATATATGAGTTGGTTTTGCCCCAAAAGCACCTTATTGTGACACAAATCATGGTACTCATCTGACTAAAAAACCAAAATCCGCGAGGAAATATACAAAATAGATTAAATTTACCTGAGATAATCGCCAGGGCTTAAGTCCTTCCACCTCCACGCTTTGCAAACAGCAAGCAAAAGATCAATACAAAATAAAGCGGTCCCTGAAACACAATTATTGGGTGGAGAGTTGTTTTTAGTTTGTTTCGGTCTGAAAGACTCACATTGTGAACACGTTAGGCCGACTACGTACCTCGAACATCGATATAATGGACGAAAATTACGAATGACACATTTATTGCATTTCTCCATTGATTCCTCAGGTTGTTCGGAACTATGTACACAATCAGAAAGTTCCACTAAGTCATTTTGGAAATTCACTGATTTCGGAAAACTGGATGGATTTTTCACAAGACAATAATAACCTTCACGGCCGAACTTTAATGCTTTATCTAAAGCAAGAATATCTTTTGATGACAAAGTATACACAAATGTATTAATTATATGGAACAACGATAAATTCCCCGGAAACATTGGAAATTCCTGATACTGTTGTAATCCGTTACTAGACTCGTTCGACTGCAGCTTAAACAAAGGTTCAGGACTTTCTGCATATAAATTATAGACAAAATGGTCAGTGCACTTGTGCTTGCTCAATAAACATTTTAAGGAAAATAAGAGGGCTTTTTCAACTGAATCTGGATACTCTTGATTTATCAAGACTTCATCGGTGGCTATTCTAACAACAGCAGATAAATTATTTAGAACCATTGCCTGGACAGTGACTGAATCAGTAACAAGAGACATTATCCTATCTCTTGCTCTACTAACACGTCTAAACTTGACAAGTTTACGGATCATCAACTGACTATGTTTTCATGTTACCGACATGTGAACCACTTTAACGTCAAAATAATATTAGGCAAACCCAGCGCATTTCTTGTGACCGAAAAGTGCTGAACGAAAGGCTCAACTAAACAAAGGCAAAAGTATACTGAAGTCACATATTTATTGATGACTAGAAAAATAACAGATAATTACAAGCTAGCTGTCATATCATTAAAACCGGGGTTGACGAGGATTACTTTACATAGTGAGGAATTATAAACACAACTGACGAAATTTCGCGAGTGATGTTCTCAATATAATCTTGATGAGGTGAGGTATTTTAATGCATTTTCCAGCTATATGATGTTTTGTCACCTTCTTTTTAAGCCGTTCTAAAATCGATAATAAAAAAGCTGTCTCACAGAAGTAGTTTATGAACAGACTTAGCAATATTCAGATTTCAGATTTGTGTAGTAAGGACAGAAGGCCTACGGCCTATGTTATTCCTTTTAGTATGCTTCTGTGAGTGTCCAGTCTTCTCTTGAAAGAGTCAATTGAAGGTGCGGACACCACTGCTTCAGGCAGCAGTTTCCAAGTATTGATGACTCGGTGTGAAAACCTGTATGCCAGGGGTATTTTGTTCGTTCTTGGCTTTTCTACTCGCCTGCTATGTCCTCTGAGGTGTCCCGATCTGGTGGGAAGAAAGAGAGAGAATAAGTTAGGTCCGAAATCATTTCTCAGTATTCTGTACATCAACATAAGATCTCCCCTTAGTCTGCGATAGGACAGAGTAAAGATGTTCAGTTTTTCAAGCCGCTCTTTATATGATAAACCCCGGAGTTCCGGAATCGCACGCGTAGCTGCCCTCTGTACCTTTTCTAGTATGTCTGAGTCACCTTTTAAACAGGGGCTTGCAGCCTGAGCGCAGTTCTCTAGCTTAGTTCTCACTAAGGATGTGTATAATGTGGTGAACATGGTAGTATCAAGCTTAGTGAATGTCTTTTTTAAAGCCCAGAGGGTTCGAAACCCCTTAACTGCGACCTCCCGGCAATGGGCCGTCGTCTTAAGATCATTGCTCACTGTCACCCCTAGGTCCTTATGAGACCGGACTACGGGTAATGACACATCCCCTATGTTGTACGTATTAACCTTTGAATCCCCCAAGTGCATGTAGACACACTTTTCCGAGTTGATAGGCATTAGCCACTCTTTAGACCAGTTTATCATATTATTTAAGTCCGCCTGAAGAGTAAATGCGTCTGTGTCTCCAGTTATTACTCGCCAAATTTTTACATCGTCAGCGTATAATAACATTGGAGACTGTACTATACTTGTAAGATCATTAACGTACATTATAAAAAGTAAAGGACCTAGGACGGAACCTTGGGGTACTCCACTAAGTACTGGTCTCCAGATGGAGCACTTGGAATTTATTCTTACTTTTTGCCTACGACCTACTAGGAAATCCTTAATCCATTTTAAAAGAGGTCCGGCAATACCAAGGTTTGCCAACTTCAATAGCAGTCTATTAGTTGGCACCTTGTCAAAAGCCTTACTGAAGTCTATGTAGACAACATTCACTGAGTTTCCGTTGTCTAGCGCATTAATCCAGAGCTCCGCAGCTATAAGGAGGTTCGTTGTACAGGATAGACCCTTTCTAAAACCATGTTGTGCCATGTTCAGCAAGTTATTGGTTTCCATAAATGATGTTATGGTCCGTTTGATTATCCTTTCCAGTATTTTAATTACAACACTGGTGAGGCTTACGGGTCTGTAATTTGATGGAACTTGTCGTAGACCAGTTTTATGTATGGGAGTGACGATTGCGTCCTTCCAGTCCATAGGTAACACACCTTGGTCAAGTGACATTTTGAATATCACAGTCAGTGGGGCTGCGATATATTCGGCAATATGTATCAAGATTTTAGGGTGTAGTTCATCTGGTCCTGTTGACTTCTCCATGTTTAGGGTGCTAAGAGCCTTAAGCACATCGTTTTGGTCGAAGTCCACGGTGAGCAGCTGGTTTGTTGACTCTGTAATTGTGTCTGGTTCTTCCTCTAGAGGAAGTTCCTGAGTGAAAACTGCCCCAAAGTAGTCAACCATAACCTCAGCTTTTTCCTGATCTTCCCCTATCATTTCAGATTCACTTCCTACTTTAATTAGGTTGGGAATCCAGTGATGAGTCCTTGTTCTGTAGTTTATGTACGAGAATATCCTCTTGGGCTGCTTGAGTGCAGATTCTGCCAGCTGCATTTCATATTTTCTTTGCGCTTCCCGAATTTTAGTTATACACACGTTTCTTATCGATCTGTAGTGTTCCATCGTACCTGCTGTGCCAAGGCGGATGGCAACATCCCAGGATTTCTTCTTTTGTCTTAGTAAGCGTCGAATATCCCGCCCTAACCAGGGATATCCGTGCTTCTTTTTCTTTGGGACAGTCCAGGGTATATATGGTTGAGTTACCCGATTGTATAGCTGCCTGAATAGAGTCCATACCTCTTGTACTGATGCCTTTGAGTCAATTTCCCAGTTCTCAGCCGATGCTGCGGAGTTAATTGCCTGCATATCTGCCTTCCATATGTTAGGACGGGCCGGCGCAATTGTTTGAGAAGCAATTTCAGCCACGAATTTGAATAAGATGACTGCATGGTCACTTCTCCCAAGTGGTGGGAGAAAAGCCGTTTGACCAACGTCCTCACCGTGTGTGAAGACTAAATCTAAAAGAGAGGAAGAGTTTCTTAAGTCGTATCTTGTGGGATCTCTAATGTGTTGGAATCATGCTAGTCCAATCGAGGTTTCTAACAGTTTGGAGTCGAACGAAGATATAGATGACTCTACTTCTAAGTTAACCCAGTTTATATATGGTGCATTAAAGTCGCCTACTACAAGGCTTTTATCGTTGTTACACCAGAACTTAAGTTTACTGAGGAGAAAATCATCTGCTACACATTCTGGACTGCGATAAACTACAATTAATTCAATATCTTGCCTTCGGCATTTCAACTTACATCTCACCAGTTCACATGTCCCTGAAACATGTGCTACTGTCTCAGCTAATCTTATGGTTAGGGTACTTTTCGTGTACACAATAACCCCGCCTCCCCTTCGGTTTAATCTATCAGCCCTACTGGTTATGAAACCAGTCAATTGGATTTCACTATCTAATATTTCTGACGTTAACCAAGTTTCCGAGACAGCGATAACGTCCGGTTTTTCTTTATCCACCACTGACTTCAGCTCCGCCATTTTATTTAGTAGGCTGCGAGCATTTGTGTAGCACACTTTTAAGTCTGTGGAGAGCTTTCCCTTGCCACCCAGAATGGCTTGAGGATCGTTTTGCTCCGAACTTTTACAATCTGAAAACCCTTAAGAACGAGGTTTCTTTCACCGTTTCGGCGACGCTCGTTTATTTCCGCTTCTGCAGCCCTTCTCTTAATACGATCAGCTAGGCTGAGGTCCTCACGGACATATATTCCGGATCCAATCAGTTTACGTGAATTACTTAGAACCAGGTTCCTTTCTTCCACCGTATTGAATGTAACATTTAGGAGGCGGTTTTTCTGAGGACTTTCGGAATCCACCTTTTTTCCTATTCTATAAAGCTTACAAATACTAACTCCTGAAACTGTATCTGGGAGTAGTTTACTTAAGGATGTCTTAATATGATTGAGATCATGTTCAAATCTTGCCTTTGGTTCAGTGTTTGAAGATTCTCTTATCTTATGAAAAATGACTGATCTCTCAGAGAGATCTGTCTTTTCACGCGGTGAGGATTTTTCTTCTCATAAAGTCCCTTCCAATGTCTTGCTGACCAGCTGCGTTTTGCCTACAGCCTTTTTCTTCTTATTTTTATTTCTTCTTACCGGATTCCATTTGTCACCACTCAGAACAGCCACACCTGGACTATGTGGAACGGTGACAGTTTTATCCGGATCTTCTATTTCGACTAGAGGTGTATGACTGCCGATGTCAATATCAGGCGACACTTCATTCCTCGTTAATGTCAACGTAGACTTCACGTTCCCGTCAACCGCAGTCAGGTGTTTAATGGGTCCAGTAGCAGCACTTACTACACTGATACATTCTTCATCGTCAGTACTCCTGTTATCAGTGCTTCCGCCATCGTTTTTCTCGCAGGCCAAAGCCAATAGGCCCATAGCCTCCTGTATTAGTACCTTCTTATCCGTACAGCAGAACACACAAAGCCAATGCGAGTTAGGCTTCGAGCATCTTTTGTAAGCCGTCGGACTTAGTCGTGTACACATTTTGTGATACCACTTTTTACAGTCGTCACACTGCATCCCCTCCTCAACGGAGAACAAACAATTTGGTTGCCCACATTTGTGAGTCTTACCAACCATTGTAATTCGATTCAAAGGGTTTAAAAACAAAAAACGATAACAATGTGAACACAAGTCTTAGTCAAGGACTAAAAACAGGTACCCAGGACCAAATGTAGCAAAAGATTTCAAACTTTAACCAAAGAACTCTTAGTTAAAGTAGACCAAGAATGCTTTTTAGTGCAATAAGTACCAAAAGCAAGTATAATCACAACAAGTACAAAAATCACTGCCCTTTTTGAAATTAGCGCTGTACGCTGTGAGGAATAAATTAACCGTCATTAAGATAATTCGATAAACATATTAACGGTTCGACAGTTAAATTATAATCCATAAATTATCGTAGTTGTAGCATAAGAACTTCTGAATTTCTCCGTTCGTGTCGAAATTTCGCTTTCACGAATACCATGAGAAAGTTAAAGGCGATTATATTAATAAAATATATACGTATTGTTATTCTTTGCCATCTTCACTAATACAATACTGTGAAAACTTGCACGTATTCAGATGATAATGGCATGTCGTTGTTGTCAATGGACTAGCATTTCGTGTCACCCTTTCTTATTTTCTAGTCTCGTCAGTCGATGAGAAATACAAACAAACAGTGACCTACGTCTCGAATATTGACTATCGTCATACCATCCACGATAGGTTTGTTCTGTCCCCCAGATAATATTAGTATTTTAGGGGAAAAAGACAAACTTCAGATATCTTGCCAACAACGATGCACCACAATAACAAGTCGTTTAAAAAATTCCAATTGTCACTTTATGGGCTGTTGCATCGATCACCATGTCAAACGTTGAACAATGAGTTAATCTAATCATTTTCTGGCGTGGTTAGAACCGATCGATCCAAATAATGTGAACAGACCCAGGATAAAAAACATTATAGGCGCAGGTAACTAATGGGATGCCAACCTACACTTTAGCAATATTAGTCTTCCTCATGTCTACACATAAAATAACTGCGCTCCACTTAGTTGCATTCCAAATATCCTGCTGGTGTACATTCTATAAGTACTATTTTACAAGAAAATCACACGACCATAGCTTCCGTATTAGAGGTTACATAATCACTTAGTGTCAGGTTGCTATGAAGTTAGGTAATTGCACAAATTATGGAACCATTAAAATATAACGAGTAATCTTGAGAGGGTAAGGATAGATTTCTGGTGAAAGGCTCTTCAAGGGAAGAGTATGGGTTTCTAAAATGATAAAAAGATGGGTGAGTAGATACGGAGACACTGAATGTTGATAAATTCGGGACATGAAACTTAGTAAACTAAAAGTCAATGAATTAGAAAGAACCCACTGTAGTACATGGTGGCATGCGTTTTTTGTGATAAACCATAGTCAAGCAGCTTCCATAATTAGGGTGAGTCATTTGTGTGAAACGAGAATTAAAACAGAGATGAACAGCTTAAAGACGGATAATGGGACAGTGAACATTGAAAACCTAGAGTTTGATGAATGCAGAATGAGTGGAGGTACAAGGATACAATATGTCGTGGTTAAAGGGAAAGGAGAGTTCGTGAAATTTATTGTTCACTTATACAAATATACGAGTGACTTTAGTAGTTAAATATGTTCTTGATCAATCAGCAATTTGTTAAAACATATATGATATCTTGTTGTAGTGACTCACACTTATCACGAGAACACGACTGGTTTAATAAAAACAATTATTATTATAACCAACTGTACCAGTGTTTATTTTAATGTGCTTCTGTTTGACTGTGCTAATGACAGCTATATTGTGCTTCCATTCTTATCCTTACACTTTGGTTGTGACTTCGCGCGAATACGGTTACATTCTGTAACCAAGCTTGTATCCTGGCACGATCTCAGTATCCTTTCGATACCACGAGATCGCCAGCAAATATATCTCGACTTGGTCCATTGATTGCCTTCTGATATTTGGCTTCTCGGGGATTTTATTGATTTATTTGGTTACGTTCAACATTCGCCTTCTGATTTACTTGGCATGTGTTTATTGGTAGCGGTGTTCATAGTAAATCTCGACTCGACCCCACGCTACATTGTCCATGAAGAAGTGCGGAAATCCGGAATGTGGCCACTAGTGCCTCTTAAAATCTATGAAAAAGGTTACAAGTCATCCAAATTGGGTTACAGCACCACAGTCTCGTGTATGCAATGGCTGCCTGTCCCACAGCAAACCACACCGTACTTTAAAAATGTACAACTCATTAGTTTCCGGTGTTTTAAGATTAATGGTATGTATGCATCTTTTCTGAGTGTAAACATGGTCGTGGATCATAATTTCCTCGAAGGCTTAAGTGGGTGAAGATATATTATTTTGAAGTAAAGAAGTGGTTTTCCTTTAGCTGATGTCTCAAAAAGGGTATAACGGGGGAGATCTGCAACTAACTGTGTAGTAGATGATGGAGTTCTTTCCCGACAGTCGGCATATGGAGCGTTTTTGAATATTTTTCACTCGTACATTGTCAGTCACATTCATGTCTAAGAAGTTGAATTCACAGTATCCAAGGGAGGGTGGAATACATATTTTCCAAGGGTGAGCTTGGTCTTTTTATTCGTGAAAGTTTATTTAAGAAACCTGCTAGTTTCCTAGAGAAGACATGGTCCAAGGGAACTTCAGGCATTTAACTGGCCGCATACTGTTATCTTAATGACATTATTTTTACTGGTTTTCTCGTACATGTGTTTCTCTCAAACTTGAACATGTTTGGTCACAAATTTTGTCCGCTTTTGTCCACTCAGTTACAAGAAGGCATTAGTTAAAACACTATTTTATAGGGCAGAAAAGATATGTATTACTGACAAACTGGAAGAAGAATCGATGAAAGTGGAAAAATGCCTGCGAGACAACTTTTACCCACAAAAGTTTATTGACAAGTTTAAGAAGCGTAAAGAAAACAATACTGAAGTAAGTACTGTCAATAAAAAACCAATAACTATAAGTCTTAACTTCAAAGGTGAAGAGGTTGCAAACACAATCAACAGTAGACTGAATACTGCGCTAGCCAGAACTTATCCGGCGGCCAAACTTCAAATTCTGTATAAAACAACATGCTCAATAACTCAATCAAAAGTTGATAAGCATCCTTTTCATGTTACCGCCAATTGTATTTATAAATTTACGTGTACCTACCAAAGCAGCTACATTGGCCGAACAGAAAGGAGGGCATATCTCAGATTTTTTGAACATGTCCCAAAAAGCCTCAGAACAAGAGAAAGAAAGACTCTAAATAGTGCAATCACCAAACATCTTCTTGATACAGGACATCAGGTCGATACCCTACAATCATTCAAGGTGATTAGTAAGCAGCCAAACTCCAGTCTTCTGAAGCTTGCTGAAGCAGTTGCTATCAGGCGCCAAAAGCCTGATTTATGTGTTCAAAAGGAGATGGTTATTAATCTTTCCTTGCCTTGGTGATTAATATTCCTTCGTTATATCTTAATAATTTGTTTTTTCTTTTTCCTTAAACTCTTTCTTGCGTTTATTACACCATTGAGTTTTATTCCAACTATCTTATTTTATCAACTGAATTCTACTCATTTTATTCTTATCAAGGTCTATTTGTTTCTAACCGTTTGAACTGTTGTCACAATGTTCTTTCATCACATAAGTTATATATATTTACAATATTCAGTCTATTAAATTTACTTACACCCTTGCTATACTATATGAATATGTCTTTAATATAACTTCCAATCAAACTCTTTTATGTAAGTAATTTTAACCCATTAATTATGATTTTAAATATCACAGATTGCAAGCAGCTGACGAGAACCAACGAAATAAAAATGAATTCATGCTATTCTGCTAGAATGTTTGTTCATACTTTACTTAAAGTTGTTTCTTGGAGTTCCTCGGGATAATAACCTGGTACCAAATGCTTTAATACATATTTCAATGTCTACGACTTTGAAACACATTAAGACTGAACAATAATATGTTTGCACAGAACGAAGAAAGCCGACCGCCATTGCTTACAAAGATGGTGGATGTAATAATTCCCGCCTCATTCTGATTGGTTGCTAAACTGAAGGTCACGTTTACGAAATTGAGTTGCGTTTAATTGCAGCTGTGCAGCACATGGATTTCAAAGTAGATCTGTGGAGACTGCACAATAGGTAATAAAATTGTGAGTGGAGAAAAATTAATTTATACTTGTAATAATCTAGAGTGAGAGAAATCATGTTCTGAGCAAAGGGGAGGATATATGCAGGTAAACTGATGAACAGAAATAAAGCATCGATTAGTCATCATCTCCTGAGAACGCCAGTATGAAACCTCAGTAGAACACTGGGTTGAAGTGTTTAGTTAAAAGTATCAAGATGCTCGATGTTCGTTGGTCGGCACACTTGCAGCTAAAGCCAACTGTGGGGCGGGGGGCACAACTCAGCTCCCACCTGAAGTGGAAATTAGAAAAAGGCGTAAAGATTGGATAAGACATCGACGAGGAAATCACCAAACTACATTATGAGGCAAGAGCTAACTTGAGATCCTGGAGGAGATCGAAGGAGAGGAAGGTCAAAGAACACATTGCGTTAGGAATCGGAAGTAGACATAAAATGGTTGAATAGCAACTAGAAAGGACTTTCCAGGACAGTTATGAGGCGAATGCTGGTGAGTGACATACTCTACTCCACTAGGAGTAACAGGCGTAAGTAGATAGAAATATATAGGTACGTGTCATCGGATATGATTAACATTTATTAGGGGAGTTCTTTTGGGCCGCATGTTTCTCAAACATTCATCTCAAAATTTTGCTACAAGGTTATCACTGAGCAAGTGTGCTGTTAGATAGTTTCTCAAACCAGGCAACATTTTGCAGTTTACTTCGGACACGTACCATGTTTTTAGGCGTAACCGCGTATCTGCAAACCCAGTCCTACGGAATTCCTTGAAATTCTTTTCAAGTAATCTATCTTTTTAATCACGCACATCTTTAACGGTTGACATTCACCTTCATGATGAGTTACCATTCGCAACCAAGCTACTTTGAACCAAGTAGTTTAGAACAGGTAATGAGGCCTTGCTGTTGATACATCTACTGAAATAGAACTTCTAATCACATATGAGTATTATATTTTTAAGGTCCTCGATCCGTAACACAACATTATTCATCCAAGTGTTTGAGCAAACGTCAAGCCCATTGCAAAACAATCCTGCTGTCTTCGTAAGAACAAATATGTGAGGGTGCAAGCGATAAACTCCTTAGGCTAGTTTTGGTCGTGTCTCTCTTGACCTTGTGGGTTAATAAAATAATCGAATAGACGTTGTTCTCTCCTAAGATGTATTAATCGTTTCACAACATGGATAAAAGCAGCACCTATCAAGGACATTACTACTGAAATAGTCACGATCCCTTTCATTCAACGCTGGATTTCGAATCCTGGTTGCACAAAATTCAACACGATAGACCATGGACTGAACGACACCACGCTCCTTGGAATCATACGATCCTGAAAGCCTACTTGTAACCAATTAGTAGAGCGACTCCACTGGTAGTTGGAACCTCCCTCTTCGGAAGTCCACGTCTTGTTTATACGTCAACATCAGCTTAGGCGCAGAGACAATCTGTTTTAAATATACATGTAGGATCGTTAGGTCAAAGCTCCTATTGTTGGAAAGTATTTGGAACCTTAGCCCTCAGTTTATTAGTTTTTCATACATACAGTTTCAGAATAGAAATATGCACTGTTTATGAGTTATTTCTTCAAGAATTTGATGATTCTTTTCCTTGAGTAAGACAGTGTTCAACATGGCTGTTTTGTATTGTGAAGGTCGATTTCCTTCTTCAAGGTCGTTGATCACCTGTTCAACGATGACATTTTTGAGTGTTCCGCTAAAATTGTCTACTGAAGTTGACGTGATAACACCACTTAAAAAGTTCATAACTAGAAAGTTTGGGGATGCTGTTGCTACGCAATGTACCGAATCCCTAAAAAAGCTCAGTGTGTTTCGCCACGATGCCTGTTTTGGACATAGTGATGATCTAGGCAGTCGAATCCAGTCACTTGCATTGTGAGTTTTCAGTTAATTTGTTCTCGTCTTTTTTGTGTAATTTGGCTTGTATAACATTGGTTTCTACGTTTTGATCAACATGTTTAATGTGTCACTATTGCGTACATTCCCATTCTGGACTGTAAACTCTGATGTGATTAGAACATTTATTGTCATATTGACATACATCTATTCGTCTTCGTTTATATTCATCATTTATACAGATATCATAATGTATTATGGAGTTTAGAAAAACGACTTAATACGTCAGAAGATCTAGGTATCCATTGGAGCTGGAGTGATATATGGCACAAAAATTATTCAAGTAAATTTGTCGCTTCTCTGAATTATTGTAACATTTATTTTAGAACACTACTCCTTTAACTTCGAGCACGTGAATATAATCTTTTGCTATGCTGCAGCTCATTCCAATTTGGCTAAAACATACGATTTAAACTGTGAAAACTCGTTAATGAAGGCTATTTCAAGCTACAAGGTAGGTTGTTGAAATTTAATAGATACATTTAATTAATCCTTGTTTGTTTATGTGCACATAGCTCATCCATATTTATGATTTTTACTGAGTATCTTTTAGTGCTAATCATTGACACATACACAAGGAAGTCGAATGAAATATGTATTAAGTTTATCAAACATTTTTAAAGAACATCTTCCGTAAAATCACGTATATCAGGAAACACATAATTCGCTCATCATATTTTGTTGTCCTTATGCATGGTGGATATTCATACAAAAATACTGTAATGACTCCCATCAGTAAGAAGTGAGCAGCAAGAAGTGTTTCGTATGAGTGACTTTGTTTTATGGTTTGTGTTTAGTTTACTTTTGAAACAACTGACTACAGGTATGTGTAACCTTACAGCGCTCATTAAACTGATTTTGTGGAGATTTCGACTACTTGCTTTACCATATTATTATGTATGGGATGATATATTTTACTAAAAAGTTAGTTGCAGTATTTCATATTTTGTGTTTAGGATTTTTCACTGTAATGGAAAACAATTGACGAGTGGCAGGATTAGGTTATCCGACGTTTCGTGACTTAGTGTAAGCCACTTCTCCAGAGAATAAATAAAAGTCCTCCGAAGAAGTGGCTTACATTAAGTCACGAAACTTCAGAAAATCTAATTTTTCTACTCATTGGGATATTACAAATATATTATTTATTTATAACAATCTACCCAATGCTCAATTTATTCGAAATTATCAGATCAAACCTTGGTAGTGATACCTACAAACTCATAAACATTATGTTTTCACTTGTCAATTAGGAGGTTAAAGGGTGATAGGGGAGGTCTAGTCCTCATGTGCCAGGAAATTTCAAGTTTTTACATTCAGTACGTAACATGTTAAAAAAGCTGTTTACAGTATCAAGCAACATAATTGAAAATTGGTATCGTTTTCCTTGTATCCGGTCTTTTGTTCCTAGCTCTTAAATTTCGATTTTTGTTTTTGTTGTTTTGTGCCAACCGGAACACTGAGCTTTTTCATCAGTGAATGTGAATTAATCTAACTTCATTTTTTTCACAAGCATTTCATTCTGTCATTTCGTTTATATTAGTACATTTAAAAAATATAAACTACATTTCTAGGTAGCAGCTGAGGCATTCGATTACCTTGCATCACATACGGAGCAATCCTCTAATGATATGACTCAAGAGGTACTGTCTGTATTCAGCGATGTTATGATTGCACAAGCGAATGAATGCAACTTTCTTCGACTTCGAAACGGTAATCAGTTTGCTCATGTTTTTCTTTGCAAAAAAATTTAAAAATTTCCTGAGAACTTTTGTAGGAAAATCTTGCAATCGGATAGTATGTCTAAAATCAGTATGATAAACAAAATGTATCGTATTTTTTTCCGTCTTGTAATAATATGACTACAATATTTTCAGGTGGTGTCTTAATTTTAACGGCGCTCATTTTGTCCTACGTTCTTAAATTTAAGACAGTTTCTATAAATAAGTCGTATGAAAATGTCACTGTAAACCCGACAAATAAACTTAGTAGTGTAGAATTTCCGACCTAATCGCGCTACAAAAACATTCATTCGACAAAGAGTAGCTAACCCCGTAGATTATCTGTTTGCTTACCTTGTGTAGTCATTCAGTCGTTCATACTTCGTCACTTAACGTCGAATTTTCTATTAGAACTATTGTGAGTAAATAGTGATCACAGTTTCAACTTAGCAATCACTTCTAGGTTGAATCACTAATTATTTTCAATCTGTGACACATTATTTTTTGTACGTCAGAGCCTGACCGTCACTGATTTCGGAATACATAGGTTTTTATTCACATATCTAGTTTAAATCCATCGCAAATTTCACATCGCTGCTAACAAATTTTGAAAGCAGTTGGCTAGTAGTGGTTTGCATAATATAAATTAACAATTTTGCATAACTTAGGGGAACTGTTCATAATACCGAATAAATCGTGAGTTAAAATATCATTCCATTTACGTTTGTGACAAAATGAACATGCTTTGTCTCATTATTCTGATGTGTGATATTTCAGTGGTTAAATGATTTAAAGTTCAACCATTACTTCCCAGGCTCAAATCCGTCCTACGTCATGACTCGGGTAACTAGTTGTCATCACTAGCCGTTACACAGTATGTAGCTGGAAGCCGAGTAAATAATTGTGCACTCGACAAATGATTTGTACTATTTATTATTGTAGTTTTCAAAGTATTAAGAGAACTCCTGACAGTTTCTGCCACACTAACGTGGTGGTCGGGCTTGTCTATTCTAGTGAACCAGTCGGGCTTTGCTGGCTGGAACAATCGTTGCTCAAGGTACTATTATGCCAGACAGATCGGTTGAAGAACGTTAAAACTAAAAATGGAGAACCCAAGGTCAGAGGGCGAAGCCGTATTGCTGACTGTACAGAAGTGTAACGGCAGTAAAGTATTTCCTTCAAACAACCAGCATAAAGACGATACTGTCTCCCCACAAGGAAGGGTGAGGTTATAAAAGGTCGACTCTAAAAATGCACACCTCGCCTTATCCTACGGATATTCATCTTTGGCGGTAAGGTCTCAACAAGTACGGATCCAGCACGAAAATGACCCACAAAAAGGCCGTGTGTGACTGGCATTAATGCGTTATCTGTTTGGCACTGCGTTCACACTCTCAGGTCACTGAGGCCAACTATAACGCAATTTCATTTTCAGGTCTTTTCAGAAGAACCATTCGACGGTGTAGGCAGCTGAGAAGTGATAACTGCCCTCATACCTCTAACAACACTCAAGACCACTGACTGATTATAAGAACTAAATATCTACGTCAAATAAAACTTCATAAATAATTATTTGTCATTTAGTACTTTTCTGTATCATCGTGCATAATAATTAATTATCCATAAAAGCATATATACGGAAAAGTTGGGTGGGAATCAACAGTTGGGATCATTCTTGATTAAAGTCGCTAATTAAAATGACGGCTCATTGTTCGATCCAACATTATTAGGAATATTCAAGTTATGTATCCACTCTCTTAGGTCTCTTAGTCTATAATATTCATTGAGTTTCATTTTAATGTTTACTTATAACATGATTTTCTTTGATATAGGCATCCCTAAATATTAGTCTCCTGTACACCTGCAGGAACACTAATTCATCCTATCTACTATCATATTCCTCGTTTTCTGAACTCTCTTAATTCATTTACTACTCTTTTCTTTCCATTTTCATGGACCTAGTGTTATAGTATTGTTATAACTGATTTCAAAAATGGGTACACTCCATTAAAATTTCGGTCTGTAATTGTTCTAACATGATGATCCTTCTTCAGCTTATTGTAAACTAATCGAGAAGTTGAAGATTGTCTTTTCTTTAATTGTACTATGATTATAAGTGAATACATTTCTAAAGAAATGTCACTCGATTGTGTTTCGACAATATGTCCCTCTAGGGAAGATAAATGCTCCTGAACTGCATTTATGCTTTCTATAGCTTTCACATTAGACTGACGGGAGACAGTATCGAATACGACATTTAGAATAAATTAGTTCTCAATGTTTCATAGCTTTCAAGCCTATTCTTTCATCATAACTAGTATTTTTTATACAAAACGCGTCCTAATATCTGTAAAAGTAGTATATGTTTAAGAAAGCAAACTATTCACTGATCTCTTATTATTTCTTTTGAACTCCACTTAAGATGAACCTGAATATCGACGTATTGTCAACCATATCAATAAATTATATAAGAAGTGTTTGGATTCATTTTCCATGATTTCCAGTTGTCTTCAAGATGAAGATATTATTAAATCTGTACCAGAGGTACGTTTATTCATTTTTTACACTATTATTATTTATTTAGGACTGGTATCGTGTTATTAAAACTAAACAGAATTATTACAGCATTTTGGCTAACACTTATTTGGGCGAAGAGAAGCTAAGGCGTAAGAAGGACACCAAGGTAATAATTTCGATGAATTGTGTTGTTAAAAAATGAAGCAGCAAGTTTCTGAAGTTTTTAATATTAGTATTCTCGTTTATTTTGAAGTCATAGATAATTACAAACTTTTATTTTTTGCTGTTAGTATTGGTTTTTAAAAATTTAGCATAAAATTGTTTGTTTTTAAAGTTTGTAAATAAAAATAAATTATTATTTAAAGTTGTTTCCACTTCAAGAATGTACTACCTTAAAACACTACTTGGGCTCTAGTGTTCAGACGGAAATTAGTGATTTTTTTCTGTTCAAAAACTTCATAGTCATCTTTCTGTTTATTTATCCCTGTAGAACGTGGTCTTCAAAGGATGGGAACATGCATAAGTTATTAGTGTTCGGTCGTTGATGCCTTGAGAGTATTGGATTGGAGACACTGACTTAGTAGTGTTAAAGTTAGGCTTAGAGTACAAGATAAGGATGACAAATAGTTTGATGAGGCTGTGAATGTTCATTGACCGAGTTGATTAGAACATACTTTACCCATTCCTAGCCTCCCTCCATATAGACACGAATCTTAACTGGAGTTTAAGTAGGTCAAATGAAATACAGGGGCCATCAAACTAAAACAGATTATTAGTCCGTTCAGTCAGTATCCGTTGACTTGAATCATGTCGGGAGGTGTAAACGTCTTGCTTTGGATTTGTGAAACCATCGTAATCCATGGTTAGAGACTTTGAATGAAATACTTAGAAGTAGTGCTAATGTATTAAATCTTTATCATCCTCTAAAGTTTTAATTATAATTTGATTTCGTACATATTGTTCCTTCCCGTGGCAGTAAAGGTAGTAGTAGTATTTGGTGATAGAAAAGATCAAGCACCCAAAATACAATTCTGGAAAAAAATATAAACTAGCGAAATAAAAAAAATTATAAGGACTTCAGAAGCTTGGAATCTGGGGGAAGACCAATAATGGATGTAACTGCATCATTGCAAACGATTTTGAGCCACGTCATTCAAAGTCTACGATAATCACGCGGATCTCAGTCTAGTAGTCTATACATACTATAACATGGCTTAGTCCACTTGTCAATAACTCCATAGACTGGTGCCATTTTTTGTTCGGATACCCCTAACTTCCCTCTGGCCTACTCCTACACCATACATCGCCAGTGGAGGCAGGCTGTGGTTGATCATATGTAACCTATATCCTAACTACCCCAGTTAGTGAAGATTTACTATCTCGCCAATCGATTTGCCTCTCGTGACTCATCCACAATCAGTTTCTTTTTGTTATGAATTGTTTCAGATATGGTAAACGTATCGTTAAATATCAGTTTGCTGAATACATTAAATAAGTAATTCAGTACCAAGTATCGATTATTTACCTTGAAGACTTGTTACCACCGAAGCTTTGTTCAAGTGTTGCACTGTACTTTGTCGAATACCATATCGATTTTACACTTAGTATGGATGTCTTTATTCACTGGACCTGCCTAGTGTATAATCTAATTTCAAAATAGCTATCCTTAAAACTTTTTAAAAATTTTACATTTACATTTATTTCTGCTCAACAGGAATCTAGCACACTCCTAGTCTCTAAATTCACACGTAGTCTTTCATCTCGTCGTTGGTCTGAAACGTTTCAAACTGTTAACGAGAGTGAAATACTTGGTGAATCTCAACCTGCTTCTGTCTTAGCAAACTATATTATAACAAAAGAAATGTTTCAAATTCCCTTACTTCCTTGTGATTCAGGCGATATTTTTGACATGTTGGTCCCGTTTCCCGTCCTTGAAGCTCTTATTATAGCAAATGATACTCGGACTGCAATCATCAATTCAGAATTTGCTAAATTGAAAAATGCTGATACGGTTCTTGAAAGGTAGACAATTATTCTAATTTACCACTTTTCGAGTAATCAGTATGTTTATATTGACAGTGGTCTTATTATTTTATGTATGATAAGATGTGTTGAACCTAGTGGTATAATAAATCCTTTTAGTAAAGTAGACCAGTGTTATCGTTAACAGTCATGTTAAACACGGAGTCCGCTTCAGATTGATGATTATCCTGAGAAAAAATTGATAACAACTTCCCATGTATATTCTATGTTCTACTAATGATTTCTTTGCAAATATCTAACTAATGAAGTACGAAATATACAATTGCCACTACATTTTGTTGTCAATTTACTATCATGGTCGCACCTGACTATGCTCCTTTGAATCTTTGCATTTCTAAAACAAATGCTGGTACAAGGCTTAATGAACAGGATACATGGTTAAATAAGAAACTCGGGTATTTCAAGGAACCTCAATTCGATTTCAAATCGATAGATGAATTTATTCTTCCAGCTCTTCTTCCGTAACAGGAAGTCACTTACCGTGAAAAAATACCCCATACTAATTTTTTGTATGTTGTACCGTTAGATGGTTTCTCAAAATTTTGCATTTATTCTTTAACACTAACACAGTCATTCTCTTCGTTTCAAATACCAATAAACACATGAAAGTTTAAGCAAACCACTTTTCCAGTTGCCTTGAAACTGTTACGCTGCAAGAGTAGGAAGCTATATGCACTTTGAGACTTTCTAAATATGTTGGTGACTATGACACATATCTCAATCCATTGGTCCAAGGTTCGAGGCAGCTTCAGTTGCTTCTCATGGAATGTCGGTTAGTATCGTCAGCTCTCACAAAAACTGTGACTTGAAGACAAGAAAATAAATATTAACTTGGTAAATGACGAACAATATTTTCACCTACTTAGGCGGTATAACTATTTTGTTTATTACAAACATCATCCTGACATTCACTCTCTGTAACTCCATTAGATAGATTTTTGAAGCCATATGCAACGAGTAAAATGTAGTGTTGTTCTCGTCATATCTCAGCAGAATCATACAGCTTAACCTAATTATCATCGGTTGTAAACAGTAAAGACAAAATGAATAATGTATAGTACGGTACCAAACTCTGTTTTACGGTTACCTGTCAAGCGTTACTGTGATTTAACTATGTTGTCTGCTACATGGCTGTTACTTATTGATTTATCTTTTTATAACGCTGACATATCAAGCCTCCAATACTAAAATTACTGAACAATACAATCTAATTTTTGTTCTTTTCATTGTGAGCCATTTGACAAAAATAAATGTTTGTTATACTAAGTAACTTTCTATAAATAACAAGTGAATAAGTAGCATTGGAAATTTAAAATTATGCCAAATCAATATTTGTTGTTTTAATTTTTATCCTCTTATCCTCGAACCAACAGTCACCCTAGGTTTGATAATATCTTTTATGAAAAACAGTTTTCTTGTTTGTTTTTTCTAATTGACCCTCAAAAATTATTTTGTTTTGTAACATTTTTATGAGATTAATATTTATCAATTTTTGCTTTGAACAATCTTTTCCACATTATATTCATGTATTTTAATGCATTTATTCAGTAGTATTGTGAAACCATGTCAAACTATCGATTTATTAAGCTTAATTAGCTTCACTTTATTCATCATTTTGATGTAACTTCAATTTAAGAAGAAAAATTCAAGCACATTTTTCTTTATTATTATTATTATTATTTTTGATTTCTTCAGTGAAATGAATCAACACAATTTTCCACGTTCATTGGAACTCAGTGTATTTCAACTGATTTGTGAAGCATTATTAAAAGAATCTGTCAAGGTTCATCAATCTGGTGGAGTAGATAGTTTGAGGCGTAAAGTTCATTCACTGAAGCCATTAGCTGGAGAACGATTCAAAACTCTTGGAGAGGTATTGATTTTATCCATTTTAAAAATAAAAACTTTATTGTAATAGTTTTTGTCTGTGGAATTGATGTTGTTGAGTATCAACACTTTCTGTTCTTGTAAATTGCATTCAAACATCGAATATCGCTTTTTTCGATGTTGAGTCTGTTGTTTTAGAGTAGATGTGATGTTGCTTCATCAGGAAACTTCACTTAGGTGCTATAAACGTCTTTATTACAGTTCGAAAAATTTCATGTAAAATTTTATTGCAAGTAATGGAACTGTGATCATAATGCGCATGTAATCAATAAGTGGATCGATATGATGTCGCGGCTTGCTTGAACATCTGGGCTACCTGTCCCAGCCATCTAGATATTTGAACAAGTTATCTAATTTTGTTTGTTTTAATACATCATTATGGCTATTAATCACATAACCTATCCAGATGTGTTTCTGAAAAGTGTACAACCTTTCGTTGTACAAATTACAAAAGGCCAATTAGCGATATTGTGGTTGCTGGCAATGCGTAGCGAAAAGAATTTTCATTATTTAGATGTCTATTGACTGGACTGCTAACTTTTAACTAACGATCACTCTATATTTATCGTCAGGATCGACTAAGAAGTAAGAAACGGAAACTTGTCGAAATACTTTGTGCTCAGAGTTCTATATTGTACTAAAAATCTAATATTGAATGAAGCTAATGATAATAAGTAATAATAACTGATCCAAATTAAATATTTGATTTTCTTTTAGCGAGATGAGTTATAAAGTTATTTACATTAATAGATACAACTACAAATTTTAAAGTTCTCAATATGATTGTACATATAAGTGATAATTTTATATGTTAATCAGGTTGACTCACTATTGATATCCACATGAAGTATGATAAATGGGATGTTTGTTCTTTCTGGTCTCATTGTACTTAAAAAGTCGTTTATTGAATAGATAAGATTGAGTCATTCTACTGTTATATTTTAACTTAGTACGCTGTAGTAAAGATCTAATAATGCAGATTTATAGCTAGGAATGTACTACGATGTGATATTTGTTCATCATCCAGCTCCGTCAAACATTTTTCTAAGAGGGTTAGACTAAATTACGACTGTCATAAAATTCTTCTGCAAATATTGTCTTAAAGAATTCTCCTACTGTTGAATGAACTACCAGAAAACCAGTTGTATGAAAGTAACCATATTTCATTGGTTTCATGCAGCACTATTATTGTATTCTTTCATGTAGGTATTAAAATAACGAAATAATCCAATCGAAATGATTAATCACTTGCGTGCTTGTATGTCTTAGCGAGGTGAGGCACTCAACAACCCTGTTTAATACCAAATACCAAGGTGTTTTGTAGCTAAAATGTAGGATCTAGAATAATTATTATGTGAAGAATCAGTTTAGTTATTGTGATTCACAGCTCGAGTGTCGGGAAGCGTGATGATGTGCTTAAACCAGTCTCTATTGTCGTCTGTATTACTAGTGAACAACAGGGTAAATAAGTATATCTATCTCTTCACCTTTATAAGATACAGCATGAATCTTGTTAGTACATTTGTGGACAAAATATCAGCTTGAATACCGAATGTATTCATAGTACTCACCAGTTCGCATAGCATTGTTTAACTGAGCAAAATTTCTAAACGTTCATTCAGAACGGGGCGTACTGTGCAATAGTTTTATTACCCTTTTGCTTTACGGTCATAAAGCTTGGTTGTTAAAAGTATAAGACATAGGAAAATCACAGATAACTTCATCACTTATGTCACAAAAATCTTAAATTTCTCACAAAGAATACTAGATCCCTTCTAGTAGACAGCGGATGTCAGTGAACCGTGCATAATATTTCTTTGAGTGTCTGTGTAAGGTTCATGTTTATGAGTCTCTGGATTTCGAGTGAAAATGAGTTTATTCATTTACTATTTAGTCCATTATTTATAGAAATACATCTAGCAGGTATTATTAATCATTAAAGAATAATTTGTGTTGTATAATTATGAAGTAAGAAAAATGTCGTTAGCAAGTAAACTTATTTATGGTATTTAAATGTGATATGACTGAGTTTATTGACATGATAATAAAAGCAGATTTGTATGAATTGTGAACTAGTCCTAAGCAAGTATTATTGATCCCCACAATGTATCACTGAAAATTAGGAAAATCAGCAGGCAACTATCCTCTGACTGCTACCAAATGTTATTCAGTATAAATACAGCTCTTCATATATACGTTTGTAACCGACTCGAAAATTTTTTGACGACTTATACAGATCGGTATGACTCCTGAATAAATTCACGAATAAGATTATACATACTGTGTAGCAGCATGCATCAAAATCTGGAATGGGAAAATTTCAGTTTCACTTATAAATAGACTAAAATGTTATTTTCTATTTTAACCACCTCCTATCACTATGATGTTTATCAGACTCGTTATAATTATATATTTTACCAATAGTAGTATTTTTGCTTCCCTCGTTCATACTGTATTGATATTTTTTTTACATATTTGTTATCTTCTTTGGACTTCTGAGATCCATTTACACTTATTTTAAAATCTTTTCTTTACATCAGATAGAAGAAATGCTACGTAAGGAGGAAAGCAATGATATTGCTTTCAGAACTGGTTATACCAATATTTTGTCTCGTGAACCGTCAGAGAAACTGAATTCATGTTTTCGTGAAAAAGTCGACAAAATACGCTTGTCTGTTCAACTGGTACGTTATATACATATATATTCTTATCTATAATATGTTTGTTAATTGTCTTTTTTCGCCTAACAAAACAATAATATGCTTAAAACGTTTTCTTCCGTACAATTGAAAAGAAATCCTGAAAATCAGTTTTAGTAAATTCATAAGTACAGGGTAACTAGAATGAAAACATGCCTGTCATTCTCTTGTTGAATAATATCTACCACTGTTTAACTGATAAATACAACATAATCTAATAGAATGATTTTTCTAATTCATATTTTATTTTGATTCTTATCTATTTGTATTACACAAGAACATAGTTGATTGAATTGTTTTTGTCTGAATAAATAAATTCGTTTTGTTTATAAAATTTTTAAGTTTATAAAATCATCTATGGTTAATTCCTAGTGTTTTCTATTTCATTCTTTAAATAAATTATTTATATGTTTCATTCAATTGTATGATAACTCTTTATATCATATTTCTATTGTACGTTATTTCTCATTACTGTTTATTATTCTTAGATTTTCTTTGTTTATAGGTTTCTGAAAAAGATTACGATGTGATAGCATTATTTAAACAACATGAAATAAATTTTCAAACATTGGACATGTCTAACAATGAACTTTTAGTATATATTCAATCAAATTTTGAACCTAAAGAAATTGAAGTAATAGAAGAAATTGAAAATTTACGCAAAGATTTAATTCGTATATGGGATGAACTTATTGTGAATAAACATCAACGTGATGATGTAATAAAAATGTGGGATTTAGTTTGTTTACCGCCAAATTTTGGTAAATTATCAATTGTTTTATGTTGATTTTATGATTTTTAATTATCGTAAATGTTTACATTTATTTAATTCACAATAAAATAGAAAGAACTGCACATTTACTTAACGTGTAAACGATCCAAATCGACAGTCGTTTACTTACTTGAAATGGTGCATTTTGAGTGAATTTTAGCAACTTCTTAGACTAAAAATTCAACTCAATCTAAGATAAATCTTCTCATAAGTTTTGTAAGTGATTGTTGGAAAGCTGTTAAAAATGAAAACTTGTGGTTAAATTAGTGTTCAATATGAGGTATTTCCAATTGTTCACAAAAGCAATAACCCTTCATTATTTTAATTAACTAAATCAGCATTATATACATGGTGTTAGAATGAATTTCAATATGAAAACCTTTAATTTACAGTTGGTAAACTTTAATTGTGTGTAAAGATTTTCTACATGTTATTGAAGAACAACAATTATTTTTGTAATATTTTACACCGTAGCTTGTATTTAATTGGACTATGTTTAGAAAGTGCCTCGTTTGAAGATCATCTTCACCAGAGGTTGATACTAGCTATTCTTTGTAACTGATGCCAGTGAACAGATAAAATTAATTGGTGCCTATCAATCATAACTGAGTGGTAAAGAGTATACGGAGGGTAAAGAGCTCCAAACTTAGTCAGTGGTAGAGATGTGACTGATGTGTACTAGATATTTAAAGTTCGTGTCTCACACCAATTTCAGTCAGTCAGTCAGCTACAACGTAGGACGAGGCACATATATGCATCGGTTCAAGTTGCCATACCGCATTATCACAGCAAGATGAACACTGGATTCATAGAAGTGGTTAATTCAATGGTGGTAACGTATGAAAGAAAGATTGTGTATAAGGATATGGTACAGGAAGAAAGAATTAGTTCGTAGAAAGAAAGATATGAAGCGATTTTGACCTCTTAGTTTAAGGGAAGACAGAGAGTGTATACACCTACGCCATTGTGATCGATTCTGAGCCATGTCACCAAGAGTTTCCAACCATTGGTTACGATAGTCACGCGTACCCCAACCAAGTAGTCTGCATCTATCAACATGGCTCAGACTAGAAGTTAGTGACTTCAAGCACTGGTTTACTGCTCACTTTCAGTCAAACAAATTCCTCCCTTGTTTCAGCGTATAGAATATCTTCAGTCATATTTGAAGAAAAACTGAAAACTGTTAATAAAAACGTTACATTATTATCCTTTACGAGTGAAGTTATTATTTTAAGTGAATGTTCGACAGAAAATGTTTTGAAGAAACAAAATTTCGAATTTCCAGACATTATGAAAAAAATTTAGTCGTTTTAACTGGTTCTCATACCCACCATCAACTATTCGATAGATCTATGTATTTTCCACCATATAATCATTTATATCAATAGCAAAGAGGTACTTCAGTGTTGATTTGTCTTCTCATCTATTCACGACTGGAGATATAAGATAGTTTGGGGCATCAGAGGTCTGGACGTTTGTCGTTGTTTAGTCATTTAGTCAAATAACTTCTTATTTATCTCAATAAAATTTGAAATTATTCTTTTTCACAATATTTCTTATTAGTTCATACTCTAACAAAATGGTATCGTACTCAAGGTGAAATAAATCATAACGAAGTGACATCTAAGACATTTCGTGATAAAGTTGATGCTGCACGAATATGTGTCAATCAAAATTTGGATGAACAACGAAATTTATTATCTCAACTACGAATTAAATGTGAACCATATTTTAATCAAATTCTCAAATATCGACAGCATAGTGTGATAGCGAATTTACAAGAAGCCTGTAAATTATTTTTAAGTATACGTAAAGATGTTGAGAAAAGTTTACATTGGCATTCGGAATTCGAAAAAATTTGCAATGAAGAACTACAGTTGGTAAGTTCTTTTTCTTATGTTTGATAATTACATTATTTTTACATAACAACAACAGTAGTTGCTTTGCATTAGATATTGTCAATGACTGAACTATCGATTAACATAATTCTGTGTGTGGAGTTAACCTGTAACTGTTATGCAAACCATTCGATCTGTAATGAAGAGTAATGAAAAGCCTTACCGATGAAACAATTCTGTATCTATGTTGATATTGTGAAACGATATAGTGGAAACGGTGTTAGAAAATACTGGGATCTGTTAGTGAATATGACTCATTAACGTATGAGGTTGCTTATCGTTATCATTAAAACATTGTTGAGACCTACAATATGGTTACTTGACACTTCTTTGTTAGGAATGAAACAAAATTGGAAGCTTCCTGTTCATAGTCAGTCAGACAATGTTAGAGATCCCTAATGTGAAAACTAGAACAAATAAGAAAATATTAATATTTTCAGTTAAATCGTGATCGGACTGTTAGCGGGACATAGATTGGATTAAAGCGTTTCGTTCAGCATTATGTCGGGGCGCTCTGATTGGCTATTTCGTAACTAATCAGTACTAGCAGATACTTGGAGAAGACTCTAGAATCATCTTATATGAAAATTATAAATATATCAATGTTTTTTATTGTGATTCCTACTTTCATTCAGCTTTTTTATTTGGAATATAATTACGATCCTGTTCAACCGTCTTCTGATTTGGTGACTTATTGAGTGAAGTTGTGTGCAAGAATACTAAACAATAAGAGTGGATGGGTCGTTAAAAGCGAAATCATAACAGAACTTACTGTAACATGCAGGGTTATTTATATACATACATGAAAATATTAAACCAGTTAAGGCAGTTTGTGAGTCGATGCTCATAATTCAATAGATGGCATAACAACAAATAACAGGTAAAAAGTACAAATCGATTCATAAGAAGACAGGTGTAATAGTTTTGATAAGAAAAATGAGATAATCAAAGTTTTAATCAGTATTTCAGTACAGGAAGTAGGGCGAACTTGTGTAAATATTAAGATATTATAAGTATAGAGATTTTGCAGAGACTGTAGCAATTTTCATGGTTGAAATCACTATTGAGAACCCTAAAGTACTGGACGGCCGTTTCGTCCTAGTATGGGACTTTTGCAAGTGCACATCCACAACCCTGATTATGGAAACCGAACCAAAGGTCTTCACTCTTGCGCGCTGACCCTTGACCTTTAGACCACTAAACTGGCGTGATTTCAATCAAATTCAACATTCTCCAGAATCCCATATTGAATATTACATTAGTGTTGATAATTCTTATTTCATTGAAAAACTGCAAGTCCTTCGGTTGATTGATTTGCATATCACAGTTATGCATATTTTGCATGAAATTACTTTCATATTTAAATGATTAGAGTTGCTTGTACGTTTATTGCAGTTGATTCCACATACCACAAATTAATCGGTACGGCAGACAACTAACAAAGTAGTTCAATCGAAATCTGGTATCTCATCAAGATCTTGATTTCGTGTCAGGTCTTGAGGCACAATGATAAATACAACTATTTTTTGATGCAATATAAATTAATGGTCAATCGGTCATAATGCAAACCTAAAACTAAGTTGTAAGCTCATCACATCGACAGTTTCGTTCATTCTTTAACTTTCTTGGAAAGTCAAACAGTTTTGTATTTTGGTTATTATAAGTACTTTATTAAGTATGCTACCAGAAGCTATCTATGAATGTTTCATTAGATACTTATCTAGATTTATTCCTATCTGAATAAAACGAAGACGAAGAACGATATTTCCTCATCACTATTTAAGCATCTCTTGCTATGAAGTTTCCGTTAATAATTATTCTGCTGTGTTTCTTCAATTGTATGGTAATATCGCAAGTACTGTGTTATGTATGCTTTTTAGAGCGTGGACTAAGTGCACAAATATTTAATATGCATAATTTTCAACTTTTTAAAAAAATGTCCACATCTCACTTTGTTTCTTTGATTCAATGACGTCATCACCAGTAGAAATTAACGATAAACAAACGAGTAGGTAATCTATTATATGTACATATATGTTTTAATGTATCAAAATACTGAACAAGAGCTGATTACACTTTTCACCTGTGTACATTTTAGGTGAATGATTTCTGTTTGGCTCGTAGTGACGAAATTAATCAAATTATATCAGAAAATGAACAATGGGAATCAGTAACCCATGATTCAGTATCAAAAGATTGTGAGTTGATTTCACTGACTCTAGAAAAAGCTCTTCATGTGCTTTAATAATACTCTACTTTTAAACACAGAAAGCTAGAGTTATTCGTTGCTACTTATAATTCTACAGATCTATGAAAAGACTAGTTTGAATCCCATTCAAAAAATAATCTAAACGTATAAAAGACATTTGTTCTGAATATGAGGTATCTAAATGGATGGGAAGATGTACAACATGGGACCATCTATATTTACGTTACCCCAATCACTATATTATGATCAATCTTTAATCATAACATTCACGGCTTCCAAATATTTATCATGTTTCATGAACAGCTACTGATTTTCGCACAATCCCACCTGACAGTTGGTTTTTATAGAGATTGATTTCGACTTGTGTTTTACAGTATAACCTTACCATAGCCGAAATGGTATTTTATTGTAGAGAGTCAGTCAGTACACTTAGTGTGCCATATATACCTTAGATGACGTATGATCATGAATTAATCGGTATATCTCCCTTAACTACAAGTTGGCAATCCATACTGAGTTGGTGGTTTCATCACTCGTGGAAAATTCAGTAAATCGGTATGAATATTCTATTTGGAAGTGAATTCCAACCTCGTTTCCTTGGTGGAGTACGAACCAGTTTTTCCTCATTTTATTCTATATCTTTACTACTAATCAAAAGTGTATGTACATGGATATGTATATATATTTTCATAGATTTATAGAATACTTATATTTAAAAACTTGAAAGTTTTTCAGTACAATTCAGTATATTGATAAAACCTTAAAGATTCATTTCTTAGATTGAAAGAATACACTTTTCATAAATAATAGGTACATCTTCCTCTACTTATTCGATATAACTACTACAATATTTAATTAGAATTTTTCTTTATGTTACAGGAATTTATTCATCATCATTATCATACCAAATCAGCATTATGCAAAATTATTTTCTGCTTTTCATTTGATTATCATTGAATATTGCTCGGTTTTTTTGTTTACATTTGATTCATTCATTACATTACTTTTTAAAATACATATATATTCCCCATCCATTGTTAGAGAACAATACACGGTGACGTCTATCCATCAGCATTCACAAAAGATTTCTTTTTTGATAACATCATCCATGGATGATATTAACTATGTCATAATTAGCCATCTTTTTTCCAAAGAGACTTAAGCGGTCAGTTTGTCTTATATTTTTATTTCATTTACTATTACATACACATTAATTCATCCCACCAGTGATCAGTAATTTTTTTATTGTATGAGTTAAACTAAGTCACTATATTCATTTTTATTTGCCAATATTATGAAACTGATTTTTTCTCCTTTCTAGTTTGAGCTAATTTTGATCGTAATGGTTAACTTATATTTTCACTTTCTTTTTTTTAAACATTGTTTTATGCGTTAAATAATATATTTATATTTATACAGTTTGTCATTTCTTCAAATTAAACACTCTCTATTGAATAGATCAATCTATTATTGGGCCAAATTAACAAAAGACTGGTTGAGTTGCATTTATGCCAAAGTAGCATCAAAGCAAATGTATTGTCATAATCAGATAACAAAATGTTAAGGACAGTCTATTGCTTGGATAAAATGAGAATATAGTATTGACATATCATAACCGTTTCACAATATTGATCTGAATGGTGAGTGTCATTGTATTGCAAACACTACCCCAAATCCAAAAGAAAGTTATTAATGAGTGGTTTGATTATAAATTCATAATCGGTCATTTAAATAAAATAATTGTAACATGTTTACCGAGTCCCTCTGAGTTAGACTTTTGTGTGGGAGTTGGTGATATCACCTGTATGTTCTAAGTCAAAGTTTAAAATGGTTCTAACTTGCGACCCATCGATTAAACTTCAAGTGCTTAAAACACATAAACTTCGTCCAACATCAGCCACTTATTTAAATATCTGTCGATTCAGTCTTATCTACTGCAGAAAAAGGTTCCTTACTTGAAATCATTAGATGCAGATCTACTGAATTATTTTGTGAAAAGGTGTATTTTTGAAAAGCTTATAACCATTCTTAATACTCTATCGTACAAAACATGTAGTAGTGTACATCTTGATAACCTTAAAAATTCTGAAATTTACTTGCAAAATGTTGAGCTTTTATTAAAATACCACGTAAATGTTTGGTAACTGCGCAATTTAATGTGGATTAATCAAGTAATCTACAAATTGACAGTACAAATTTTATGCTTTTAATAACAATAATTTAACGGGATAGTCTTTGTGATGTATAACATCAAGATGTTTTTGGTTAAAAGTCGTATGCTGAAAACCAGGGATTATAAATATGTAACCCGAAGTACAAATGAAAAAAATAATCAATTAACAATTATGGAAATAAGGTTTTGTCACTAAAAACTCATTTTCCCAGTTGTGTATTTTAAACATAAAACTAGTATAAAAAATAATTCATTTATGTGGTTAATAAATTATGTTTGAGAAGTTATTCGGAATTTAAATGAACCTTAGAGGTGTAGGCATAGACTATTTGGCTTGTTTATTTATATCAGCTTCTGAATGTATCTTGACAGCTTATTTACATCTGTTCTTTTTACAATATTAAAATTATTAACTGCTTTAGTATATGTATATATTTATATTAACAAAGACGATAACTATGTACAGTGTAATATGATCACAACTATCAATGTACACGAATTACGTTCATAAGTATCAGTTAGCAGACATCAGTATAGTTCATAGTCTGTAAATTTTATCGAAAACTCCGCCCTCGTCGACCACCTCGTTGATGGGTTCCAGAATGATGGCGTGAACCACGTAAATTGACAGTAGGATTATTCGGTGTTTCCTTTTTTCTTACAATAGTGAATAATGAACATAATGATTCTGTACAGAATGCACATCCAGAGAATGTAGTGCTAATTTTTTCAGAATTATCTTCGCTTGAATTAGGGACTTTACCCTGGAAACAAAATAGGAGTATTTGAAATGATGACAATCATATTATCAGTTCAATTTATTACATGATGAAATTTAGTACCTATGCAATTATCTATTCAGGTTCAGCATACATAGGCCTAGTAAAATAGCAGCGATATTTTTCTTATTTATTGATATTTATCACAAAAGTATCTTACTCAGCTTAGTCCAATTTCAGTTAACTGAAATACACACTTTTATTTCAACTATCGTTCAGACAGTAACAGTAACTGTGAGATTTTTACAATAAGCAAAAGAAGGGTAATCGGTACCAAAGTATATATATATATATATATATATATATATATATATATATATGCCCGTTGATATCATCTTAGCAACTAGAGCGGATATGAATTTTAAATTTTTAAAAAACCGTCCATGATTGTTTGTCGAACTTTCGTCTAGTGCTCTTTCTCGAATGGTAGAAAAAAAACTAACTATTATTAAATTGCGAATCGCAGGTTAAATGCGATACGGAAACCTGATAATTTATAAGTACAATAATACCATAGACGAATAGTAATCATACGAGAAGTTCTCACTTAAGAATATCTTTGTAGTAATTATTATCAGCAAAACTACTGCAACTTCACACATGAGTAGGCCTAACAGCTATGATCAACAACCACGGCTAAACTTGTGACGATACTTACAATTTGTTCCATATTTTGAACAATTTTTTTCTGAGCGTATATCTTACATTTCTTCTAATATCGAAGCCAATTATTAGTATAAACAATTGGACTCAACAAACGTTGCTGATGAATTAATGTACTTTTTAAACATACTACACAAAAAGGCATAGACAAACTAGTCAACAAATTATATCTAAATTAAGGGAGATTTAAGATTATCGAGTTTTGTTTATGTTAAACAAATGAGTAAAACCAGATAAAATATTTTTTTCTAAAAATACAGTTTGTACATACCGGATCAAATCTCAAGTTAAGATGCATAGCTGTACATACTGAACAACTAACATTTTTGACAGACATACTTTTTACAGCGTCAGAAATAGACAGGAATGTTGGACATCTATAGTAGAACAAAAACAGTGCGCATACAATAAGTCAGAACAATAAAAAAGTTTTTAGTGGAAAATGGGAAAAAAGCATTCATCAAAAAACACTGAAATTAGTTCTTAAACTTACGCACACAACATCTAAAAGTAACTCCTGTAAAATCCACATAAGTATGCTTAAGGACGCACCGAAGGAACACGATCAAAAGTGACGTAGTTAAAAAATATGTCTATAACTGGAGCTTTAAGAAACAAAAACCTGAATTCATGTAGGAACATATAAATATCCGTAACCGATATCCACAGAAATTGTATCCACGGTTTTAATTGAATGATTCGAAATACTTCGAATAATACATTTGGATGTTGTGTACTATTACTAAGCTTATTTATTACTTCTATTGATTTATGAATACACTAAAATTAACAAGAAAGTCTACGACAGAAAACTGTTCAGTTATCAATTCAATCAAAAACATACATTTGAAGTCCATCAACATAGGAGCATATTTCTTCACTGGATTGGCTCAGTCAATTGTATGACTTCTCGAACAATTTGCAATCAAATATTGCAGCGAGTTTAACAATTTTGAGGATAGTAGAAATATATTATAGGAGTCGACAGATCAGGTTATTCATTGAAACTAGAAAGAACTCATCCATAAGAACGATATTATTCCATGACCAAGTGTCGAAATCTAGTTATTTAATTTCATTTGAATGGTAGAATGTGTCTAAGGTTTATGTAATCAACTATGGCCATCCGTGGTTGTTTATTTTAAAAATTTTACATTTATCATCTATTAACTAATTATCATTAAAATAAAATTGACACGTACTACATCCTTAAAAGTAAACCAAATCAAACCGTTAAGTTTTGACTATCCACTTTGAGGATTACTGAACCCATATAGACATAATAATGTAAGGGTAACGTTTAAATTGCATTCAAATTTAACAGAATCTACTCTACATTCTATTTACAAAAAAAAACATTCTGAACAAGCAAATAATCGTCGACCTAGTCATCCACAGTATTTTATATGATGATGAATGACATGATTGTTATTTATGAAGTTTTAACCCTATGTACAAATAAATATTTCAATTATGGTATACTTAAAACGTTTTACTTTGTGATTTTATGCCATAAACTAACACTATACTGCTGACTTCAAATTTTTACATCATTTTTCATTAGTTTGTCTCGTTAACATATTGCCGCTTTAATTGTATCATTACTACTAATTCGTAATACTATTTCAAAGACATAAAATTCTATTATTTTAATGATTAATAGGAATAGGTAAGAAGAAGAAAACAAATGAATCTAACTAAGCAATTCAATTTCTTAATATAACTTTAAAAGCCTAATGTGAGAATCAGTTTTCGGTTAAATCTGAATAATAGTTCATTGGAATTTCGCATAAAATTGATGTATATTCTGATAGTATTAATTTGTAAGACAATGAAAAATATCATAAACCAACGTGAAATGAATAGTTGTTAAAAATCATATACAAGTATATATACGTTAGAAACGATCATCTTGTCTTTTTCCCAATGAAAAAGAGTATTTAAAAAATAGACAAATAAAAGTTTTAAGATATAGATATATTTTATACTTGTAGAATAAAAATAACCATTTCCATAATTTATGAACTATCATGTTTCCTGAAAGTTATGCAGTGAAACTTCATCATGTAGTGAATGATTCAAAACTATGAATAATGAAATAATCATCAAGATAAATCCCAACTTGATAAGAATGAAATTTGTGTTACTTAGGTGAGATTATGATTCTTTTTAAAAAAAAAAGAATTACGTAATAATAATAAACTAACCTATTACAATTTAAACGATATTTTGGTGCATTAGAATCATCTAAAACTAGTATACCATATGGACAATCAGGACATGCATCAACTCCTAATGATTCCATGGATTGTGGACATGTTGGATGGGGGCATCTATTACAACCGGATAATTTTGGCATTGATTCAAATGGTGGATGAGAAAAACAATATGGACAAAAAACCATATTCTATGTAAATAAATAAACGAAATAGATTATTTTTTTGTTAGAGTAGGTGTTACACAAATTATTTTCAATATATGTATTAATAAACAAATAATAGAATAGAAAAAGAACTTCATAAGAGATCACAAATTAAAATTTTAGTTATTGAAATAGAAATCTAGATTTAATGAAATATGCTAATTCCGATATATTCGCTTCTATGGCAATATAAACTCCATGTTATTCCCTCTTTGTCTGGTTATTAGCTCTTTTTTTCAAAGATTAACTGTATTAACAGTGGAATAGAATATAAGCTAAACTGTTGGCATAAAAAGTTATATGGATAAAAATTAGGAAATATAAATATTATCGTTATTTGATATAACTAAATGGGAGTAACAATTTTGATATGCGAATCCCTAATTTATGTATGAATACACACAATTGGACCATAAAACAGGTGGATCTCAATGTCTAGAAAGTCACCTATATTCATATTATATATGAAGTATACATCAGGAACTACAGCAAAGATTATTGATACTGTTTGAAATAGGCGTAGTGCATAAACAACGAAAATCACTGCAATCAATCTTATTCAAACTAAAATATGAAATAGCACCTAAAAAATACAATGCTTCAATTGCGAGAAACAATATATCGAAGAAAGTGGCCACTCTCTTCATATACATCGGCATGAACGTCAACTAGCTTTAATGCAGGTAGACAATTATGGACACGTTCAACTGGGAAAATGTTGAAATCTCGAACAGAGAGAATACTGAGAAGATAAAAGAATTTTTAGAAGCTTGGCACTCAGTTCAACAGCAATCAATTAACATGAAGAGATCAATCCATTTTGTCAACCAACCGTAAAAATTATGAGCAACTTTAAAATCAAAAGGGATGATAATCGAGATACATATAAAGAAAAGGATTAACAACAACCAATCACGATCGATGTTGACAGAACAATTTATTAGTTATATATCTACAAATTCGAATAGTTTATTTCTGTATGCAGTTTGTACTGGTGTTATTCAAAAAGTAAATGAAAGTTTCGAAACCAAACTATCCGGGACAGAAAACCCAGTCGAAAGCTTCATCATCATTGTGAGAACTTTTAATGGTGCCGTGTTCTCCGACCTGTATGGTATAATTGCGAAACGTTCATTGTTTTTATAGGTATCATTACAACCTACTTTAAACAAACTTTTCAAAGTAGACAACACAACCAAAACTATTCATTGAAGTTACAAATCTTCATCTTCTCAGGACCTGAACACTAATTACAGTGTACAAATTATCTAAAGTCGAAAACGTACCTCATATCCCCTGTACAGAGATTAAGGAAACAATAGAATGCCATAATAAGGTTAGACATGAAATAAATTTCCAGACTCCTAAAGGCTTTTACATAAAGTGTTTGTGGAAAAATTCGATTAAGAATTTCACCTTACGCAACTAATTTTCATTTACATGGCATAAAAATTCCCTCAACAGATTAAACTATGTTTATTGATTGATAACCCACAATATCAAAACGATATAATCATTGGTATATGCATATATAAAAGATGTATATAATGTACATAACAAACATTCTAACAGTAAAAAATTTAATTTTCACGGCATATTACAATGTGCACTACCGACGACTTAAGATATACATTAAGTACTAGCGTCAATAATTATCAGACGCCTAACTAAGACTTGTGAACTGCAAACACGAGAAAATCAGGCTGACTTCAAACCTGGTCGTGGTTGCATCGACCACGTATTCACCATTCGTCAGGTTCTAGAACACAGGCATATTTATCGGCGTCCGACAATGGTGGTCTTTCTCGACTTAAAAGCAGCATTTAACTCCGTAGACCGCGAGATTCTGTGGCAGTGTCTGTCATTGAAAGGCGTACCCCAGAAGTACATAAACCTTGTGAAGGCTCTCTACTCGAACACTAACAGTCGAGTCAGAGCTTATGGCGAACTGTCATCTGCTTTTGCAACCTCAAGTGGTGTCCCTCAAGGCTGTCCACTTTCTCCATTTTTGTTTAACTTCATCATAGACCTATTGATGGAAATAACATTCTCGTCTACTGAATTCTCGGGTATTGATCTCCATCCAGGAGGTCCACTTATCGACTTAGAATAGGCAGATGACATAACCCTGTTTGGTGAAGACGCTGATAGAATGCAGTCTTTTGGTAGCACTGAGCAACAATGCCAGAATGTTTGGAATGCGCTTCTCTCCCTCCACATGCAAGCTGATGCTTCAGGACTGGTCTGCGTCAACACCTGAACTAAGGATAGGGAGTGAAGTAGTCGAACGCGTTGACAACTTCACTTATCTTGGAAGTCTGATCAGCCCTAATGGGTTGGTGTCTGACGAAATCTCAACACGGATTCGAAAAGCTCACTTGGCTTTTGCCAACTTACGTCACCTATGGCGAAGGCGAGATATCCATCTATCAATTAAGGGACGAATATACAGCGCGGCAGTTCGTTCTGTCCTAATTTACGGCTGAGAAACATGGCCATTAAAAGTTAAAGATAATCGTAAGCTACTAGTATTTGACCACAGATGTCTTAGAAATATTGCTGGCGTCTGCTGGGATCACCGGGTAAGTAATAGTGAGGTTCGACGCAGGGTATTAGGGAATGATGGTAAATCAGTTGATGAGGTTGTAAATCGTTATCGACTGAGATGGTTGAGTCACGTGTTGCGTATACCTGAGCACCGATTATCACGACATGCAATGCTAACCGGTGTTGGGGATGCTTGGAAGAAGGTTAGGGGCGGCCAAACCAAAACGTGGCATCAGTGTTTGAAGTCACTAACTTCTAGTCTGAGCCATGTTGGTAGATGCAGACTACTTGGTTGGGGTACGCGTGACTATCGTAACCAATGGTTGGAGACTCTTGGTGACATGGCTCAGAATCGATCACAATGGCGTAGGTGTATACACTCTCTGTCTTCCCTTAAGCTAAGAGATCAAAATCGCTTCATATCTTTTTTCTACGAACTAATTCTTTCTTCCTGTACCATATCCTTATACACAATCTTTCTTTCATACGTTACCACCATTGAATTAACTACTTCTATGAATCCGGTGTTCATCTTGCTGTGATAATGCGGTATGGCAACTTGAACCGATGCATATATGTGCCTGGTCCTACGTTGTAGCTGACTGACTGACTAAGAAATATAACACGAAATTAACACTGAAAAAGATCACCTACTGATCTCATGGTTGTGAACAGTTCATTATGAGACCTAGAGGTCATGGTGTCCAGTCGGTGTTCCAAAACAAGAATTCAGTTCTCTATAATTTATATTCTGTTTCAATATAGGGCCTCCCTACTTCCATTGTTGAGAGGCAGTATCACTGAAAATGTTGCTTCTTCAGCTGACCTGTATAGAATGATAACACTTAAAGAAACGAATGTTGGAGCCAGTATAGCTTGGCTGGATCATCTTGATAAGTAATGGTAACCACCAGGTCAATGTATTTTCAATTATTATAGAATAACCGGAATTATAAATTAATACAGTAAATAATAAAAAAGAAACCTACTCTTCCTTTACCACCTTGAGTATAGCATAGTAGTTCAAATTTATCTAAAGGACACTTTTCGGTTTTATAGGGTCGAATTGTACCATTCTGTGGTAATGTATATGTTTCATTACAAATTGAACAATGAAGTCGTTGTGGTCGAGAATCTATAAACTTTAAGTATCGATGACATTTTCCACATCTAAAGTATGAAAATGCATAGTAATAACACAGAAAAAGGAAAATCAAGTTATCAAACAGTTGGATGAATGAAAACGTACACTGTCTGGAGTTATCTGAAATTTTTCAATTCTCATAAAGTTAATTCACAATAGTTATAGACGTTTGTATAGGGATTCATATAGTTGCCTAGTTAGTAACTGACTACCTGAGGTTGAATTGATTTGGTGAACAAGAAATATCTCCGGTTAAAATAATTATATTACCATTGAAAATAAAGATTTTCAACACATAAAATTCTTGACAGATTCAAATCTATTTCAAGGATCTAACGTTTATCTGATTCATATTCCAATTAGGGTATAACTTAAGATTTTCAATTATTTACTTTGAAATGATTAGTGATTAATGTAGTTAACATTTCATGTAAACAACCTAATTTCTTTGATAAACAACGTGCACATTATGCACACAAGAGCAATAGCATTTAAGGTTTTGTTGAAGAATCCAGACACAATCATTCACACCGAGTGATACTATACATCAAGATTGATTTTACGTTTTTTTGGTAGGAACTAACTTTAGTAAGAAATCTATATTCCATTTAATTTCCAACAGTCATGTATACATGTATATATTAAAATCTAAGATCCACCAACTATGTTACAGGTAATGATTCCAGTTAGTCGGCTCAGGTTCGACAAGTGCAATGGAGCTGAAGGTCAAGTACAGAAATTAATGAGCCACACCTTCAAATATTTGTCTATAGTTAACCAAATTCAAACAAAATTGTACATGTTTAATATACAATGTCTTTAGTGAACCGTAGTTGATTTTTCTTATTGTCAATTTTATAACCTATAATTAGACTATGTAACTACGTCCTAATAAAGGTTCATATATCAACTTAACAAATTCTTCTGGGTTCCATAAAATGAATTGCAAATGTCTAGGTTTAATAGTTACTAGAATTAGTTGAAAGTTACAGTATGTATGTTAAACACGAATTCAGCTATACGCTTGCAAATAACAACCTCACTTATAAATAAAAAAAATCAGAAATGAGAATAAACAAAAAATGACTCTATAAAACATAATTTATTGAATGCCTATATTATTTTAGTGGCACTCGTATATAATACCTTTAATCTTTAAACCCTGGGATCATAACAACGATCAGTGATAATAGTGACTTTGTTTCATGTATCTTGATGTATCATAAACAAGTACTATCATATAGTTTTTGTTTCGATAAAGTTTTCTCATCTGTTAATGTTTTAGAAAAGTCCATCTTGCAAATAAAGTCAAAACTACTAAATTTTAAAAAAATCAAGCGAATTGTTGTCCACTTACCTGGATAAAGGTTTACCTGAACTAGCTAGAGTAGTGAATGAAACTTCAAACAATTGATCCATACCATTGATATGTTCAACAAAATAACGATATTTTGCGGCAAAAATAGCTAAAACAAATTGTAATACTAAATCATATTTAGCATGACCACGAGCAATATGATTTAATTGTTCTTCAACAGCTCTACGCATATGTGGTAGGACAAGTTCGGCATCGATCGTTTGATAACCATGAACAAGTACAATCCCCAATGGTGTAGGTTGTAGTTTTCGCCCCGAAAGAAGCTGTGTTTGATTAAGAAAGAACACACACACAAACATATAGATAGGAATAGAATGAACGAGAAAACAATAATCTCGAAAGTAAAAAAAGTTATACCTCAAGAATATAAAAGATAATGAAAAATCTTCAAAAAATAACTTCTACAATGATTTCTTGTAACTAAGTAAGTAACACATTCCAAGTTAATGAATACCATAAAGTGAAAAAGTTTAAAACATTGAAACTAAAACGATTGTTAGTTTATTTAATGTTTAAAAGTAGTCTACAGTAAAATTAAGTGCTTTTATATGGTTAATAATTGAGAAAGTAAATTAATAAAGCATGTTTTTTCATGAGAGTATAAGGCCTTCTATTAAAACTAGACAGCTTAGCATTGAACACTTGTTTCAAAGTGAATAAGCTCTCAATTATGAATTGGATGTAGAGGATAACTTAAAATCATAGTTTCTGCTATTTCATGATAATCCCGTATTTTTCAGTCAATATAGGTTTTATATTATTAGACATTAAAACATTATCATTACTATCAAATCAGAATGAAATGCAAACTCAGAAAATTTACACTAAATATTAATTAAAAATATTTAGTCAGTAATTTGTTGTATTTTATCTGCTAACGTTGAACGTTTAATCAATAAACAGAAAATTAGTAAGTTAAAGATTTATTCTCCATTTCATTTCCATTTGTTTAAGTGAATAAATAAATATATAATTGACTTATAATTATTTAAATAATTAAGCAGATGTCTACTTGATTAAATTTTCACATAAAAACAGTACGAATCAACATGGATAATCTTAGTGGATTAAGATAATGCTGATTTATAAGCGAAGTGACTTAAGTTTTTTACATGAAAGCCTGAAGTTAATCCTAGTATTCAGCTAAATATATACATGATGGTTGTAGAGAATCTAGGGTTAGACCCCAGTAGCTATGTGCTATATAAGCTAAGATAATTTCATGTTGAACAATATCAAGATATATATAGTGATGAACAATTGCCATCTATATATTAGTGTGACAATTTGAACAGCGATACACTCGTGCCAGCTTCTGTAAACACAGGGAACAAGAACTCAGGTGGAAAACACCAATTTATTGTTTAATACAAAATTACAGAATATCTTGGTAAAATATAAGGAGCATACATTGAATAATTCATTTGCAAAATTTCATCACCTAACGTTCACATTCAGTATGATTTTTCTGGTCCACAATTATTTTTTTATTTCCGTTTCTGTTTTCTCCAAGTTGACCTTCATAGCCTTCTGCTGCCAGGTTTTCCACTTCCAATTGGTGTTAAATACTACCTATATCTTTCAACATAAGTAGCATATACCACATACAGACTATGACTGACTGAAGGGTAGTCAGAGGTAATGAGCAATATGGTCCTAAAATGTTAACAGTGACTCAATTACCTTGCGTATTTATTAGACTCTTAGTCTTATTGCTAAGTTCATTTCATATTATTGATCTCCTCTCTCACGGTATTGGTGAGAAAATGTAGTACCCTGAACTGATACACATCTACCCTAAGTCTCGAATTGTCTATATTAATTAATTATTAATTTTAATCCTTACTTTGGTTAGTTATCTAATCTACCTCGCAATTAATTTGCCTCTATATAAATAAATAAACAGTTTGGTTATTGTTATAAGTGTTGACATTTGCTGAGTCGAATTATCTCTATTTAGAGACACAAAAATAATATGGACATAAATACGAAGAAAGAAATACATAATATCATCATTATGATAGAGAATTTACTTGAACGTAACCTCTTTGAACGATATTTTCTATATGGGTTGGGATTGATGCATCAGTTCCAATCCCATGACGTTCCATAGCGGTAATTAATTCAGCCTCAGTTAAATAGTCTGGTGGACCAGTTTGTCCTTCAACTAAACTTGGTTCTTCAAATAAATTGAATTGATAGCCTTGATTAAGAAGTGTTATAGGCAACGATTTATCTTCTATTGCTTGCCAAGTTAATATTCGTGTAAAACCAGGGTCAACTACTTTTAATCCACTTATTGTAAACAATTCACCGTCACCAACGGATACGGTCACTTGTGTTTGTTCATAACAACAATCGGGCATAATCTTCAAGGTAAATAGGGAAAAAAGAGTATCATCGTGTTGGTGATGCTAGATATCCAGAAATCACTTGGTGAACTTATTTTTGTAATTTAATTGTGGAAATTCGAATCCATCATTTTCGTTCTAAAAGCGCCCACATAATTCACAATAAATTACAGTAAAAACATCTTAGACTACATGGAAGTAATTAATTACACAATTTACTTTTTCAAAACCGATCAAAATTTGCCAGCCAAGTTATGTGAAATGCACCTACGATGTTTAGTATAAAGCTTTCAACGCTAACGAAAAAACTAATGTACAGTATGTAACAGTTACTAAGTAATTCAGTTCTAATAAATTTCAGTAACTGACTGAATAGCTTAGTTCGAAGAAATTTTTCACCATGGACTGATATCAATGAAGAATTAAGAAATGTCACTTCCGACTTCGGACGCAATATGTCTTCTTGGTATTCTAAAAACATACATCTACACTGATAAATGAGCATTTGAAAATTTTTAAAATACAAAATCACTTACAGTAGCGATAAAATGTTGTGTAATGTATTCATACAATCGATAGGCTTCATGTCCCAGTTCTTGGGAAGACGCAAAACGCATAGGAGCAATAGGAGGATGGTCACCTGCATCATGACCAGCACGAGGTGGAGTTAACCCACTTTTTAGAATTTCACGAGCTAGATCTCCCCAAACTGGATTATTCACCTAAAATGATTAAATCGATGTAGAGAAAAACAGAGGTGGTGAATTAAAATTTTAGCATGAAATTACATGCAAAATAAAACTCATTAATTATAACTAAACTTATGTATTTCTTAGGATGAAAGCATTGAGAAGATCGTTCAGCGTGCAGACAAATATCCTATAAATCGGGTTTTAACTAGACAAACACAGGAAATGAGGGAGGAATGGAGAATTGTTTACTTAGAATTGTGGAACTCAGCAGCGTGGAATGACGACTGTGTTCCAATGTTCTCTGATCTTTAATATTTGTGTGGTTAAAATTCAGTTCGTGATTCAAATGACTTATTCGTCTTAATGTTTGCGATTGCTTAAACTTATTATCTGGTTGAAGTGAGAATGATGGATAATAACTATGACCGACAACGTTCAAGATTTCTATCAATCTAAATACAGTAAAATCTATGAACTTCGTACTGTACTAATGTCATCTCATGTGAGAATCTAAAATTTCAAGAAAAGTAGGAAAGTACTGTAACAGGCAGTTATAATCTCCTTTTTGGAAAATTTCCCAGTTTCTTGCAAATAAGTATAGATGAGTCTCACTTCGCCTACTTTAGTTTTGGCAGCCATCAAACAAGAACAAAATGTAATGTAATACTGAGTTCGGAAGTTTTCACCTAGTAACTAGGTTACATTAATTGGATTAGGGTGTAAAATAATTATGATTACTATATTAATCTTACATGATCAGTTTGTGACAATGAAGAATACTTTAATGATAGATATTGAATTTGAGACAGGCTGGAATATTGTTACAGTAAACATACCCAAAAAACATCAAGTGAAAACTCAATCTTAAAACTATAATAATCGGTTAGTTGATCAAAGATAGTAAAGTAAAAGAGTTAGTCACTGAAGCTACTGCTCCGAATCATGTTGGGGTTCACATCGAACTTGAATTTATTCACAATTCCAATTCTTTAAAATCTAAAATGTCTCAAATGATTGTTTGCATGTATACTGAATTTTAGATAACATATTTCCAAGAGTAATAAACGTAAGAAAACAATCTTGGTGGCTTTTTTGAAGAATACTAACAAAACGTATCATACCTGCTGCTGTAGTAATCCACGTAAATCAAATGTGTTTGGATAAGCTGTTGTCTCAGTACGTGGATAGTTTATGTAACCAGACGTATACAATCGTTCCGCAATAGCCATTGCACTATGTGGTCCAATACCTAAACCAGCACTGGCAACTCGTAACATTTCTACTGTATTTAAACCTTGTGGACGTGGTTTAATTTTCTGTTTGACAGATACCTGGACGACTCTAAAATAGAATTAAGTTTACAAATTTTAAAAGGCAGTAAAATAAACGCATATGCATGACGTATGACCGTTTAAGTACAATTATTTGAATAAAATATACATTAAAACAATTCGATTCATGAGAAAATGAAAAATAAATACTTTTCTGCATATGAAAAGCCGTCCTTACGCTTATTCATTTAATCGCAAACAAACGTTTCTGAAATGAGTTCTAAACCAACTTTCTTAAAGTCGTAACAAAGCAATTTACAGACAACCATTTTTCGGTCACAACACCAACTTTCAAAAAAATGATCAATTTAAATCACTGATGATCTTTAGATCTTTAAAATTTCAATAATTTCTACTACGTAAACGTACTGAGCCTGTAAGCTTTATGAAAGAACTTGAGCATATATATGGCATAAAATTACGTGATAATATATGAAAATTTTGTGTCAGAAAAATTTACCGTTTATCATAACTCCCATAATGAAACTGAAGCATCAAGACTTAAAAAAACTATTTGATGGTTTATTATCATTTTCTGTGTTAAGTTATAAAATCACAGAAATTAATTATAAAACAAAAATATTGATGAGAAGCAAGATAATTTTAATTTTTTTACTGTTTCAGACATTTTCATACATGTGTTCATGATCAAAAATTATTCCAGAATACTCAAAATTCACTTTAAGCATATAAGCCTTTACCATTGGAACAAGCGTACAGAAGCATTATAAATGCATATTTTTGTGCAGTTTTTAAATAGAAAGAAACAGTTTCGAAGAAACATATATATTCAAATAGTTATTAGACTGGTAACAACGTGAAGTGACAACTACAGTCGAATTCATGTACTTGGTACACTTGATTAATTATTTTATTACTGATTATGAAGAATAGGAACAACGCAATAACCAAGTTACCTAACCAATTATCATATATATCAGTTTACTACTTTCATTGTGAATCTTTCACATCATAGCTATTTTCTTACAAACAAAAAGTTTTGGTTTTGTTGACTTACTCTGCTGTTTTGGAAGACTTGACTCGACCTAAAAATACTGAAGCAGCTTCTTTATCAAAGATACGATCACGATTCCATGACATTTCTAATACACCCCCGGTATCATCTACACCCGAGACCTATGATCGAAAGAAAGCACATTATTATTATTAACAAAAATGAATCGGAGGTGAAAAACTAAAAATGATTTTATTAAGACAGGATAAATCTTCAGATACTTGATTTAGTACAACATATATGAGCGAACAACATTGTTTTAAATTAGATTGTTATCAGGACTTACTTTAATGTGTAATAATATTTGTATGTATATTCGGGGTTCGCGTAATTAGTGGAGCAGGTAAATTCACTTTTTATCTTGCCTTGGATCCCAAGTTTCTGAATTCCTCATAGGTTCTATTATTATTGCACTAATTTATTTTTTTCTCGAATTGTAACTTGGATCAATAATCTTTTCTATTACTATTATTACTATTACCATCTCTACTATTCTGGGATTAGTTCTGATAATTTTATTGAGCTATGCCAATGGGGTATGGCAACTTGAACCAATGTACACATGTCCCAGGTTCTACGTAGTGTATGACTGACTGACATATGAAAATATCAAACTAATCAAGACAGTTTATGAGCCTATGATAACAACGAAAGTGATAATATAAATAAACCTAATGACAGGTGTACTACTAGTGATAACAAGAATAAAGGTTCGAATCATTTAATCAAAACTGAAATTTGATATCTATGACTTGGATAAACTGACAATTTATAGAAAGGTGATAAACATGACTTAATGTGAAGTCATACAATACCACCTTTGAAACTCATCTAATATCAGTATTGACAACGCGACATAATAGCACAAACATTGATGGTTACAAAACTTTTAATGAATCCATGACCCAATACCCGGAAAATAAATTGGTAAAACTATTATTAATAGGATGTATCTCACCTTATTCTTAATCAGTGGAAGATGTAAATTTAAATGATCTGATAAGTGGCCGAAGAAAATACAATTTTTCTAATGTTAAAGTAATGTGACCAACACTAAGTCAATAGCTCAAGTAGTTATGCAATCAAATGAAAAATACACATTAGTATCCAAAATATAAACAAAGGGAACTATAAGTGACATATTAATACTTAATGTAAATAGGAAGACAAAGGTTCAAATCACCAATGAACGCAATATAGAATTACTGTTTATTTACTGCACATAGTTATACAGATAGAGATATAGAATAAGTCAGTAAACCCAAGTCTCGAAACGGAATAAATAGTGAGACCGATTATCAACTATTCCTAGAGAAAATATATGACAATTTAAAATTTTCTGCCACATTATAAAAATTGGCTAAACATTCATGGTTATAAACTATGAACACAACGTTTTTAGTTACCTTTATCCGCCAAAATGTTTCTGGTTTAAATGATTGGATTTGATCGTGTCGTTTTACGCAAAATCCAAGTGTAGGTGTTTGACAAGGTCCAAACGACACAAGATTGCTGTTTAGATCACCATACTTCCCCTTAAACAGAATGAAACTTTTATTCCAAGAGAATGTATACAAAAACCAATAAACAAATGAAAGCAAGATATATGAGTAGATGGTTAACAAAAACTACTTAGTGAAAAACAAACAAATATAAAATGCTAGCAATAACTTGGTCTAAATTTTACCGTAAAATCTTCAATTTCATCCTATCACCACCACGATAAATGAGACTAATAAGCCAGAATTAGTGATAATTACCTAGTAAACATGTGATGCAGTCAAATTACAACGATTCGTCTAGCCATACAGTACACACTATTATTTATCAATTACATTTATTTAAGAACATTGGGCAGCGAATATAAAATACGCCACTTAAAGCGTGGTAATAACAGTGACGAGAGAGAAGAAAAATAGTTAAAATAATTGAACAAAAATAGTATATGATAGAAAATACAGTTAAGCTAACAATACAAACAAAAAATCCTCCCACTTAAGTGATTTCTTTTCATTATTTTACGAATTTAAAGGAGGATTACAACAGGATCGTCATTCTTTGGCTTCTGTCCCAGGCATTGACTGATAATATTCTAAGTCACTAGGTTGCACTGCCTATCAGACCCCAATCAGGATTTACGATGGATAGACAGACGCCAACCTGACATAGCTTCCTTTCATACCGCAGCACCATGCCATAAACTGACCATCTCGCTTTTTCCAACTAGTTCCAGAGTCGGCAAATAATGGATGATGTGGAAGTCTTTGGGATGACATTCGTGCCGTGTGACTAAGCTACTGAAATCGACATTTCAAGGTGATGACGCCAACTGTGTGGTTGTCACCGTGCTCCAGGGCTTTGCCGAACATAAAGAATACTAACAAATGTTGTCGGAAAACGTCATCAATTCTTATGAGGAAAAGAAGACCGACGCCAAACATTCTCAATTTAGAGAGGCCAGATTTCACAAACATAGAGTAGATTCTCTCTCCCTCACTGAATCGCTGTAAACCCAATCTTTTACAGACAGACTAGAAGCGCGACTGCATCAAAGACAACCTGGGTTCCCATAAGCCACTCTGGCTTTTACTACCACTCATACAATCACCAGCACTCACACGCCTAGCTAGGTACACAAACATTTAGCTTAATTAGGACGCAATATCGCCGGGAGTGATTGTAGGCACAGAGCTTCTGCCAGTCTTATGAAAGTGCTTTGCACTTAGAAGGTGCAAAGCAAATGGCATACCAATTGACATTGATTACAAGATGAAGTAAGGATAGCACATATCGTCATAAAGTAATACAATTTCATTCGAATACTCAAGATCGAAAGGTGTTTTTCTAGGTAACACATTCAGACCATCATTATCAACTTCCTAGTTCCATCAAAGCTGTTTTTAGAATATCATTGATGGCAAAGTTGGGGAGGAATGATGAAACTAGTCAACCCCGCAAAACTCCACTTATGGAATGAAACAAAGGGGGAGGTGGTTATATGTATTCATTCTGCCTAAGATGTTTGTATAAAGACCATACAAGATGTCAATAAACTTCTCAGGAGCACCCCTTCTTGACGGACAAGATTAGAATACATTCCTATCCAACGAATTGAAGGTATTCCTGATATCAAAAAGCATAAAGATTGTTCACCTGAAATAAGGATGAAGGTGCTCTAACATTTGTGAAGGGTGAAGATGAGGTCGATGCATCCACGATCACACAAAAAACAACCTGCTTTTCATCAGTCAATCTTTTATGGGATTTGGACAGTCTGTGAAGTATGATGAGAGCCAATAAGTCGAAAGTTACTGTACTAATGACATAGACTTTTTTTATAGATGTTGACGACTATCACCTCATTCCAAAGTGCTGAAATGAACCCTATTTACAAAGCCTTGCCAAACAACTCAATCTAATGATCAAAGTTTGACGTCACCCTTAAAGAATAGGAGACAATTTACCCGGGCGAAGTGACTTGTGCAGCTTTAAAAGATAGAGTTCTTTTAGAACTACCCCCTTGTCAAGTGGATAGGTTGTCAACGGCTAGGGAGTGTAGGACAGTCTGGTCTATGTTGCTGGGGAAGCAGGTCAACTGAACTGCACATAGAAAAACCCTTGGATGCTATTGAATAGCGTCCCATCAATTTTTCCGATTGTTTCACTCACAAGGTCCCTGTAGAAACCCATAGCTTACATAAGTGGGACGTTTGGCGACGCCACAAGCGACTTTAACAGCCATTTCCAAGACCTTATGCAAGCGCAGCCAGTTTCCATCTGTAATTTTTGGTGGGATAATAGCTATCTTTGAATCTAGCTCAGTTTGATATTTCGCTGCGACGAAAGTTGGAGCCGACTTACTTATAACAATCTGTTTAAGATGAATTGATTCAGCCGGTGGGAAGAAATATAAAGATGGCAAAAATGAGGGCATGATATCACCATTTAAGGTCATACCATGCCAAACAGCTCATTTTAAAAGCGCTAAAACCAAAAGTAGTAAGATAAAGATTTGATAGGGAAGTCATAATGCAAACTACACTAGGGAGTAGTAGCAATAAGCTGTTTCTCACAGGAAATTAGTATCTCCAGTCACACAGTCTTCCCACGAAAGAATTTAAAAATGAAGGGCTACAGAATTTAAGATATACTTTCTAGCCTAACGGAGTATCGATAAGGGTATCATTAAGCAGTCTCAAGGGATTATGTACTCATTTCCATGGATGTAGTAGTGATACTTAAAGTTTTGAGGAAATAGACGCTAATTATAATATTCGGGCTTGTATTTCAATTAAAATACTTATTACTACATTATTCGCAATCAGAATAGTCTGTTTAGAGACACGTTTATGAACAGTTATACGTATTTAGACAAAAAGCTAAATAACCTAAAAAAATCTCGTCGGAAAGGGAATACAAACGTTACCATAATTATGATTTAATAAACTATTTTAATAATTAAGGGAAGACATTGCTTCAATTTTGAAAACTCACCTGAAAAAATTTCGTTTGGAACCTAGTGAACGCACAACCGATTCGAAGATCAAGTTCTTGTCTAGCATCTACTGACAATGCTTCGTGTTTATTAGGTTCTCTAAGATTTTTCATAGCACCATGTAGTTCTTGGTCAGTAACAGCACTGAAATGTGCACGTAGAATTCTTTTCTAAACGTAAAATCACGGTTAGACAGACTAATCATAAAATAAAAAGTTTATGAAATGAGACAAATAAGTATTTTCACTTGAGGCTAGGATTAAGGACAATGCGCTCTCAAAATATGGGATTAAAAGAAGCCAATATGTTCAGTATAATTGAGCGGTTGGAATCAAGTTTCTTTATAAACTGACGCTTACATGACATTTCATTTACGAGAACTAATATTTTCCAATAATAACCGCTGGTATGAAAATTAAGTAAAAGCGGAAACGCAAAACAGAACGCAGAAGCTACTACTACTACGTTGTAAATTTGAAACGTATACAGTAAACCAGGTGCTAATGAAGTGGAAAACTGAATGACAAATGAGCCTCCAGTTGATATTTCAATAGTTGTAGTGAGCCGAAATAAACTATGACTATTCACCAAGCAACTGATAATCTCCAAACATCAAAGCACTTTTGAACAAGGTGACGGAAGTGCAAACTTATAAACGAAGAAAGAAAACCATCAAATGTGATAACTTAATAGAAACAGATTACACCTGTCAATCAGTTAATAGAAAAGATCAGGAATGTTAATAAAAAGCTGTCACAATATTACAATAATGTGTTCGAGATACAAAATAATTATGGTCTGCACTAGTGTTCGATCACACCTCAATTGGTCATTATAATTCTTAAACGTTTAAAGTTGTACACAGTTGCATAGTCGAAAATAAGTGAAAAGTTATTAATGTTCTAGAACTATCAACTCTTTTAAAACTTTAACTCTCAACTTATACATAACGTACTTGTTATTGAATGACAATTCATCTTTTAACATAATGCTGATAACTGGAAATAATTAAACTCATTAACTCATATGAAGCTGAAGGAAAAGCAAAGAACTACAGTGAATTTAATGTATTCATCAAAAGTTGTCGCTTTTCCTTTGTTTAAGTTTATGAAAGAAACTGACTGTATGAAAATTCTTAATGGTAACAAATAAAAAATAGTAACGCATTGAGAAGTAAATAAACATGATATATAAGCAACTCACGGGGTGTACCATAACTGAATGAACACAATTGATAACTTCAAAACAGATATTTTCACCCTCTTTGTCACAATCCAGCCAAAGAATTAATATACCAGCATTTTTCGCCTAAACAATAGTACTGTCAAAGATATAAAAAACCTCGTGGCGAAGAAAATCCACCATTTTCAATTTGGGGTTAGCTTCCTTTTTCTCAATCGGGGCAACAAACAGCTCAGCCTGAATTTGAGAGACTAGTAAAATCAACTTACAGGATCTACTTTATCCCAACTATTATAACGACTTAAGAAATCGACATTCATTACGTGACCACACACTGACGTCATTTTAAAGCGAACTTGTTCACTCATAAATTGACCAGTCCATTCATGAATAGAACATGCTCCATTGAATCCACGTCGACTTGAATTACGCTTATTAGATAAGGATTTCGCTATTGATTCAGCTAGTGATGGTTTCTCAGCAACCATGAATACAGTCTGCATGGTACCTCCTGTAAAGAACAGTAAATTAAAGTCACTCAGCCATACGTAACGTGCAATCTAGCACCCATGTACACAGTTTAGGTTACACCATCCCATTAGTACATAGAGATGAAACCGTTAGGACAAATCCTAGAGTAGTATAGGTAGTATTATCATTATTTATTTATTTTAACACATAGATATTGGTACAAGGAGGCACCAAATACATACGCGCCAAACAAATCTCATTTGATTTGTGTGAGGGCTGTGATACTGCCCGGGTGCCCAAACCGAAGCAGGTGGTTTTCTTAGAGGGCCACACCTCGAGCCTTCGACCTAAAGGTCTGATCCACAAGGCAGTAGAGCATCGTAAGGAGATGCAGTCCCATGGTAGTCGGTGACCAACAATTGGTTCATACGCCGTTTGTTCCTTCAGGATACTGAGGTCCATGTGCACCATTGGTCTGGAATCCGGCTAAAGCGCCGGACATCCGCTTTTCGTCTTCTTTTTTTCGTAAACAACAGTAATGCCACGAGAAGGCAGTGAGAAGGATGTCCCTGGCAGAGGCTGTATACGCGTGGCCATGTGAAAGCATTTCGAGAGGGAGAGAGGACTTTCCTTACTCTCGGCCGTACTAGGGCATTATTAGTGATGAAGGAAAGGGTTAGGCAACCAGAATACAATCCAAGAAAAAAATTTCAAATTAGTGGAACAAAAAATTATAAGGACTTCAGAAGCTTAGAATTTGAAGGAAGAGAAATAATGGATGAACCTGCACCATTGCAAACGATTTCGAATCGTCTCCAAGCAACAGATCCACACGCGTAGTTATGGTATGTATACATTCTCGATCAGTGCTGAGCAGAGCAACTGGTCAGTCTTGAAAACTAGACTTGCTAGCTCACGAAAATGGGAAATACCCGTTTATAACTACGGACTTGATTACACAACGGATTCAGAGCCCTTAATATAATTAAATTTTCGCTGTTTAGCGTGATTTTGAACACTTGCTAAAACCTAAGTTCCGTATATGACTTGATAAATTGGCATATTTTAGTAGACCCGTAAATTAACATACATACGTACATTAACACAATACTTCTTTTGAGTTCCGTGTCTAATTCTAAAAAGTTCTAACCGTCAGTGTATTTCTGAATTCTAATATCCCGAACTCACATCTTACCCCCCAAGCTCCCAACTTTGGGGGAATTTCGGGTTTTTTGTGCCATTTCACCAAAGCCTCCCCAAAATGGGACAAATTTTCCCCAAAATTGGGAGCTCTGGTTTATCCGTTTTGAGGAGGCCGCTATAGAAAATCTTGGGGAAATGACACAAAAACCCTAAAATGTTTCGATTTTACCCAATATTTCCCTAGAACTCTCTATACGCGTGTATAGAGAAAACTATGCACCGAATATTACGAGGACGACAAGATTTTTATTCAGTTTCAGTTTGGGAAGGACAGGAGGCTTAATGGCCTGTGTTAGTCCTGACAATGCTGGTCTTTCAGTTGATCCAACTTTCTTTTGAAAGAGTCGAGGGATGGAGTCTCAACCACGTGCTGAGGCAATGAATTCCACTCGTTGATGATTCGATGGGAAAGTCGATAGTCAGCTGACAAGTAATTTGTTCTGGGCTTGTGAACTTTTTTGGAGTGTCTTCGTAAATTCTCTGTTTTGGCAGACAAGAAAAATAAGGGCATATTAGGTGCAAATTTATCAAAAAGCAATTTGAAAACTGTAATCAAGTCGCCTCTAGTTCTACGATATGACAACGGGAAAATGTTTAGCTTGGCCAGTCGAGCATCGTACGGAAGCTTCGTTATTCAGTTTAGTTGCTTTTCTCTGAACCTTTTCCAGAAGCTCAATGTTCGAAGCTATCACCCTTACTTCGTATCGTTCTCTATATCTTGACATCGTTAGCATATAGCAAGACCGATGATGATAGGAGAGGAGGAAGGTCATTTACATACGAGAGGAATAGCACTGGCCCCAAAACTGTACCCTGGGGCACTCCACTAAGCACAGTTCCCCAGATAGATAACTTTGAGTTCACCCGTACTCTTTGTTGACGCCCAACTATGAAGTCTTTTATTCACATCAATAGATTGCCTCCAATCCCGACATTTCTTAACTTACATAACAGCCGGTTGTGCGGAACTTTGTCAAAAGCTTTGCTGGAATAGATGAAGGCTACGTCTACAGGTAACTTTTGGTCCTTAGGAGTGCACCAACTTTCACGAGCCACTAATAAGTTAGTGAGACAGGAGTAACCTATTCTGAAACCGTGCTGCTTCTCCGAAAGGATCCGGTTTTCATCGAGGTAATTAAACAGCTCCTTCCAAATAATCTTTTCTAAAATTTTAACAACCACACTAGTTAGGCTAACGGGGCGGTAGTTCTCATATTTGTGTTTCGTACCTATTTCGAAGACAGGACTTTTGGTAAACGACCCTGCGTTACGGACAGGTCGAAGCATATACTTAAAAAGTTCGCAACGAAGTTAGATAATTCCTTCAGTAGCCTAGGATGCAATTCATCGATCCCCGTGGATTTACCTATGTCAAGCTTATTTAGTAGACCAAAGACATCGAGTTCTTTAATAGTCACGCTATCCAGTGTATGTGTGGGGGATCTGTACGCACTGACGAGAAAGGTGCTTCTATGATACAGTGAAAGCAAACTCTGGAATTAATGACCAGTCTGGAAACGGCATGATTACACTTACAAGTCTAATTATATTTAGTCACAACTGCTAGTGTAACGGACAACTCAAGAAGCGCACCACTTATAACCTTTGTTCTTCAATTAGCAATTTCCAGATGACAGAATTGTAAGTTGACGGACCTTATAATTCCATTCAACATGTACCTCACTCGTAGTCCAACAATTCTCAAGGTCCATATAAATTACCTCCAACTATTAATTGATCATCCACTCTACACGGGCTTTAGATTTTCTTTTGATTTGTGTAAAGGCTTTATAAGTTTATTGCACTTATAGGGGTAGTTAACGTCGACTTATTTCATAATAACTTTGTCATTATTTTTGGAATTTTCATATTTTTGTCCACCACTCTCACGTTTATTTTTTCTCCGTACTTTTTCATATGATGTTTTCTCCTAATGATCTTAGTGACTTCGAAAGTCATTTTTCAAAGGCTTCCTCTGAATTATCTCAAACATCTGAAGCCACAATAACTTTAGAGGTTGCCATTTTGAAATTCAGACTTTCAGTATGCGGAGTAAACAACTCAAAAATCTGGTATGCCCGGGTAGAAGCCTTGTTTTGGTCTCTATGACTCCAGTGGTTTGTTGGAATGGAATTTCAGGAACTAAGTACACTCAACTAGAGCCCCCTAAGTGTTGTTCCGTCCGAGAACTGTTTTCCACACTAAATTTCAGTGTTTTGGAAGTTAACCCATATCAGTGAAACAAAAGCTGGAAGGACGGATGAAATGCATTACAAAATCAAATTCCATTTCTACTAACATACCTTTGGCTCCCTAATTTTCCTTCACAAACCCCAAAAAACCCTTATTTAGTGTCTACTGGAAATAAAGAACAATAAGAGGTTCCCATCAATAAGATCGTGCCTGATCGATAACACAAGTGACAATTGAAGATGCTGATAGGGTGTCAATCATGATGACTGCACGCTATACCATTAAACACCCATCCTCTAATCGAAAAGATTCACGACAAAATCCTCACATGTTAGATCGAATGTCATGAAATTGAATTTGAAGTTATTCTCAGTGAGGTACCGTTACTAACTGAAAGAAATTCATGTCTCTGTCATAATTTGACGAACTGTCCAACCATTAAAAATCATCTTTAACATGCTTCATTGACGTAGGAATAAGTGCACCTATAACTCAGTCATCAACCGCTCGCTTAATAAAATGTCTAGCGGTCGCTGCATAATCTAGTTACAAGAACATATTAGACAAAACAAGTCGTCACTCGACCTCTGTCAATCCTTCACGTTCACCTGAAACACTGAAAAAATATCCGCGTTCATGGGAAAACACTCTTTTAATTCATTGACAGATCTGCACTGTCTTGCATTTTATTCATTATTCTTCCTCACTTTAATTAGTTTCACTGGCAAGGTATAAACGGTAATCCCTTTCAAATCTGTCCGCCGTTTCGTTTCAACGACCTTGAACGCGCTGACTGGAAGCGGGCATTCCGTATTTCAATTGCCTTATACTGTCAAATCATTCGTTACAAAGGTATTGCAAAAATTGAATAGGTTACCACAAAAAAAGTTTGAATGAACTTCAGAATGAAGCTATGAACGATTGTTCACTTCAGAGAAGTGTAAATTACTCCACTTTCGTACAAATGCTTCCAACAGTTATAGTTGATCACAATAACAAACCAAAATAATGTATAAATGTTTGTACTTTTGCTTTACGATCTGAATTATTGAACTTAGAGAGCCAAGAACCCTTTCTACCATAATTTACAGTTTGTGTATTAGAAAGAAATTCGTATTAAAAATCAAAAGATCCAATGAAAATCTAATGATAATCTTCGAAACAATTATCCAAGTTTACTTAAGGAAACGATGGCAGTAAAAACACTCTAAAACTAAAGTTATAACACATACATTCCCACTGAATAAGTAGTTTCTGCTTATATAGTGCATTAGAGTTGTGAAATTTAGTGTTGATAACAGTTTTCCACAATCAATAGTTTGATTACTACTTAAATAATGATGTGATGCATTTGAATATTTTTTAAAGTCATCCTGAAAATATTCTCTGTACACAAAGTATTAGATGGTCGCCCTACAAATCTACTTCAAGCTGGCATCCTTAATATGTATTTGTATTTGGACATGTAATAGTGTGGTATGTGCTACTCTCGTTGGTAGACGTAAGTAGTATTTAACACCAATCGGAAGTGGAAAACCTCGCAGTAGAAGGCTATGAAGATCAACTTAAAGAAAACAGAAACGGAAATAGAAACGAATAGTGAACCGGAAGAACCATGCTAAATGTGAAGGACGAATGATGAAATTTTGCGAATGAATTATTCAATGTATGGTTCTCATACTTTACCAAGATATTTTGTAATTTTGTAGATAAACTTCCGACTAAAGTTATTCAAAAGATGTTAAACATTCCATACGTATAAATAAGAACTTTCGTCTAAATTTGAACGAATAGTTTCACAATATTTGGGCGCCGAGTTAATTTGAGACATTAAAAAGAAGAATATATTTGTAAAATCTCAGCGAATGAATTCATTCGCTGAGATTTTACAAATATATTCTTCTTTTTAATTCCATACGTATTTTGCCTAACTGTAGAAGATAAACTTGACTGAGCACCGTCAGCGTGTAGTGTCTGTTTAAATTGGCAAGGTCAGGGTCAATAATAACCGCCTATAGGACTATTATTTGAGCATTCACTTCTCACTACAAGCTCTTTTTCCACATACTTAAGTTCTCTCACTGAACATCATTTATTCAGAGATCCAGAACACAATGTCTCTATAACGGAAGCTTCTTAGTTCTGTTCACAGCTACGTGGAATCATATTGTGTTTCATCTGATTGCAAAGTACTATCACGTGCTGTCACCGGATTAGTATAACAAGATCTTACGGCTTTTGACAAAAAACTGATAGAAGATCAATCAGACAAAGTAGTTTTATATGCTTATGAGTTAATAACGCTGTGTAGAACAATTCCAACAGTTGTACGTTTGTTAAAACTCTATACATGCTTCTTATATATACAATAGCGTAAGCTAACGAATCTTAACGGTGGAGGTTTAGCATAATTTATTTTTTCATAAAATATGCATCTAAACGAGTTTTGGAAGTGTAATTAGTGAATATGCTGAAATCATTTACCCCGTCTTTCCTACTTCAATTAAATTTCTCTTGACTATCATTGTTTATTAGCTACTGCAATTTATGAATTTTATTTACCAGAACTTCTGATTCTACTCAACAACTAAATTTACATGGCCTTCTCATTGTCTTAGTAACGTGCACATATTATCATAAATGTTACTCTTGTTTTTTTAATTATGATGCTTTTATTTCTGTTAGTGTTAAGTTTCTTATTATTCTTATCACTTTTTTTATTTTTTATGTACCATAGAATGTTCAGCAATTTGTTTGTTATACTAATCGTCAAGGCATTTAAACCAATTGTAATAATTATTTAGGTCAACTAAAAAAGTACACAAAAAATATGATTACTGTTACAAAACGTTGTGTTTAAATATTACTAATGTAAGGTAATGTAAGTGTAGATGACATAAATTATCTAAGTTATATTGTAACTGTGTAAATAAAAATGTCTAACATAATCAAATAATGTTTACTTGTTTCATTTAAACCTTGTCAGTCCTAACATCTAGTCACCACTAATGTGTCTGTGTAATGTCATGATTCAAGTTTACATTATATAGTGATCGCTACAGAATTTGGTGATAAATATTTAAACTACAGGTAACCTCAGTATTAATCAGTCATGAAAATATAGAAGTTCTTAAAAATATTCCCATTCATAGTTAGTTGACAACAAAATTGATTTTGGTTATCTATATACTATATTATACATTAAAACCAAAACTTTTATCAACAACGAGTAGTATATGTCAATACTATGTAATATCATGTATGAACATTTACCCAAACCAGAAACTCCACCACGAGTATGTGGTACTTATAAAACAATTCATATCATCAGAATGTAAATATTCTTACTACAAGACAAGTAGAAGTGACTAGTATTTAAGTAAAGACACGTAGAATATGTTATATGAGAGGCAAGCTGTGATTATTCCTCAATCAAGATAGACAAGAGATCTAATATCAGATCACTAAAGCCTAAAAGGTTTTCGAGTGTATACAAGAGCAATGTCCTTTTTTAAGCTGTAGAAAACATCTACCTTGAATACCATACGATAAAATTTATTTTTGTAATATTCTAGCTTCTACATTTAAAGTACAAATAAACATTACAATGTTTACAATATGTAATAAAGAAAAAACAAAAGAATGTTTTACATATGAATGATACTTTTTCTTGGTTTATCACGTTTGCAATCAACAACTAACTTTAAAATGACTATGAAAACATCAAATATGGTATAAAACAAAGGATGTAAAACTAGGAAAACAAAGGTTTTACTAATTTTGTATCCAAGTTCTAAGAAGAAATGTACTGAATCACTTGTATAGAAGAGAATATGTAACATGCAATTTTAAGTTTGTATTAAGGGAAATATAATACGTGATAGTGATTCCAAGAATTTTAAAGAATCAATCACTGAAAAAAATGAATAACCACAAAAACAGAAATGTACGGTTATTTCTGAACTTCTTTAAATGAAATCGGTTCTAAAGGATAAGATCGTCACCCAGTTGCAAAGAGACTATATTTATAACAAATAATGTTATTAGAAACAACAAAGCGAACTAAGTAATAAAATGTGTGAAAAATACTTTTTTTTCAAAATTTTACACATAAATGTTTAATGAAAATCAAAAATATCCTAATCAGGAATTTTCAATAATCGTGTCATTCACTTCTAAATACCTAATATATAAACTGTATTATAGCTAATATCAGAAGGGGTTTTCTGAAATTACAGTAATTTTTAATGGTTGAGATCATGAGTCAATTGAAGCTAGACCACTATGGAAAACCCGGAAGCATTGGACGGGCGTTTTGACCTATTGTTGAACTCCTCAGCAGTGCTCATCCACGATCCCGCCTCGCGACATTCAAACCCAGGACCTTGGATGTCGGCTCAGTAATTT